GTCAGAGGACAACCTGTGGGAGTCAGTTTTCTTCTAATGTGTGGGTTCTGGAGATTGAACTCAGCTTGTCAGGCTTGGCAGCAGATGCCTGTACACCCACTGAGTCATCTTGATGGCCCTATTTTACTTTTTTATTGGTTTAGCACTTGCCTGCCATCCAATGTGCAGTAATTAGCTTCCCTGTTCGTCCTCTAGTTCAGTGCTTGGCCTTAAGTCCAGAAACTCACTCACTCTTAAGAAAAGCTTTGGGGGGCTGGAGATGTGGCTGAGTGTGTAAGAGCACTAGCTGTTCTTCTAGAGGGAAGACTTGGGTTCCATTTCCAGCACCCACATGTGTGGCTCCAGTTCCAGGGGATCCGATGCCCTCTTCTGGCCTCCATGTGCCGTGCTAGCATGTGGTGCACGGCCTATGTTCAGGCCAATACCCATACACATGAAGATAAGCAAGTCTTTAAGAAAGAAAAGGAAAGCTTTGAACAGGTGTTTGAGACGGGCTGGTATGTAGACATTGTTTCCCTGGCATAATTACTGTGCCTGGTCATGGATATCCAGTCAGAGAGTGCTTGAGATCCTCCATTCATATAAAATTAGAAGATTCCATTCACTAGCCTTGTTTACAGGTATCTGGTTATATGTCCGTGTAGACTCATACATGGTAAGTATATCTGTTATAGTCATGGTGTCTTAATACAGATTATGTCACAGAAGTGGTTTAGTGGGCAGTGAGAGCTTTGGTAGCTCTCTGGGGTCTTAGGCTCAGGTAGAACTGAAAAGCCCTGAAGGGATGATTAAGATGTAGGAGTACAGAAGAGACAGGGAATGATTTTTGGATGAGAAAAACCATGTGAGGAGGGAGACAGGACTCATTGTGGCTAGTTAGTGCTTGTGCCTGTGTGAAACATTATTTGTGCAAATTGCTTAAGTGGACAACAGTGGGAAATGAGATTAGGTAGGTGAGTAGCAGTTAGATGATGCTACTTTTTGGTAGAATGATTTTAGTGTGATGTGGTAGGTAGTTGAGAGTCAAAAAGACTGAGTTAGAAAATGAAGGCTGTGTAAGAAAATGGAATTGACTTTTTTTTTTTTTTTTTGAGACAAGGTTTCTCTGTGTAACAACTTCGGCTGTCTTGGAACTCACTCTGTAGATCTGGTTAGCCTTGAACTCACAGAGATCCACCTGCCTCTGCCTCCTAAGTGCTGGGATTAAAGGCATGTGCCGCCACCACCACCTGACTGGAATTGACATTTGTTGGTAGATTAATGAAGGTAGAAAGTTGGGAACTGGGAAATGTCTAAATGAAAGTACCAGAATTAGACAGAAGGGCAAGCAGAGACAGACAAAAACCTGAGGCTAGGTCCAGCATGGCAGGTGCTGGTGGTTCTAGCACTCAGGAGGTGGGAGGACTGCTTGGAGGACTGCCCAGGAGTTCCGATGTAGTAAGGCTCCTCTAAATAGCAATGAGAAAAATTTAACAGAATTTCAATGCAAAATAAGAAGCCCAGTCAGGGCTGGCAGTTTATGCTGCTGTGTAGAAACAGTGTTGACTTTGTTGATGGTTACTCTAAAGCCTGTTCGGATGTAATTTGTGTCAAAGGAGGGTACACAGTGGCTTTGTGCAGAGTGTTGTGAACACCTAAGACACACCGAAGTGCTCCAGAAATATCTGCTGGGCCTAGGGATAGAGCTCAGGGGCAGTGCACTTGCCCAGCATTTGAGAGGCCCAGTGTTTGAGAGGCTCAACACACACACAAACTCCATACATACAAGAAGACATAAAAAGAAGGTATCTAGCCGGGCAGTGGTGGTGCATGCCTTTAATCCCAGCACTCGGGAAGCAGAGCCAGGCAGATCTCTGTGAGTTCGAGGCCAGCCTGGTCTACACAGTGAGTTCCAGGAAAGGTGCAAAGCTACACAGAGAAACCCTGTCTTGAAAAACAAAAAAAACAAAAAAAAAAAGAATTTAAGATCAACATTGATATCTGTAACTCTAGAACTTGCCAATTTTTAACCACCAAAATAACTTAAAATAGTACTTATTTGGCAGTTTCTAGTAGCATATCTTTTATTTTAGAAAATATGGAAGGCCAGGGATAGTGACACACACCTTTAATCCCAAGAATCAGGAGTCAGAGTCAGGGTGATTTCTGAGCCAACCTGATTTACATAGTGAGTTACAGGACAGTCACAGTCATTCTCGGCTACACACACATTGTGAGTTCAAGGCCAGCCTAGGCTACTTGAAACTGACTCAAAACAAGCAATGCTTCCAGTTTTAAAGAGACATTACAGCCTTTTTTTTTTTTTTCATTTTCTTTTTTGGTTTTTTAAGACAAGGTTTCTCTGTGTAGTTTTGGTGCCTGCCTTTCCTGGATCTCGCTCTGTAGACCAGGCTGGCCTCAAACTCACAGAGATCCCCCTGCCTCTGCCCCTGCCTCCCGAGTGCTGGGATTAAAGGCATGCAACACTACCACCAGACTTTTTTTTTTTTAATTTTTTAAAGGATAGTAGTGAATAAAGTCAATAGATTGGAAAATGGTACTATATTTGTAGTTAATTTCCTATCTGTGACATGGTACTTTGTCTACATAGAAGAATAAGGTTGCCTTTAGGAAATACATACAAAGATATAAGTATTGGGGCTGGAGAGATGGCTCAGGGGTTCAGAACACTGCCTTCTCTTCCAGAGGTCCTGAGTTCAATTCCCAGCAACCACATGGTGGTTCATAACCATCTATAATGGGATTAGATGCCCTCCTCTGGCCTGCAGGCATACATTCCCCCCCCCCCCCAAAAAAAAAGATAAAATTGTTCTCAAATGGTCCTGTGTCTGTCTGTTTCTCGCCATTCATTAGTTGGTAAGCTTATATGATGTAGTAGATACATATACTGCTGGAGTAAGAGTGAGACAGATAAGGGATAATGCACATACAAATACTATAAAAATGCTATATGTTATGTGGGGAATTTGGGTTAAGGATAGGTATAGACTCAGCATGGTGTTTTATGCCTGTAGTTTAAGCACTTGAAAGGCTGAGGCAGGCAGAATGCTGTGAGTTTGAAACCAGTCTAGTTTATACTCTGAGTTCCTAGACTATAGAGTGAGGCCCTGTCTCAAAGGGGGAAAAAAAGCAAGCCTGTGAGATGGCTCAGTGAGTAAAGGTGCCTGCTACCAGCCCTGAAGAGTGGGTGTTACTCTAATTAATCGCCAGTGAACCAGTGACTATTTTAACTGAACTGTATTACTTGCTTGTGAGGGCTGCATGCTGACTCTTGATTACCATTCCCTCTCTGTATACTTATAAGTCTTTAAAAGCAGAAGAGAGCACTGGCTTGACCATCAGGAGACAAGCTACTTTCTTAGGTCCACTGCTCATCTTTTAGTGAGATTTTTAAGGAAATCACTGTCTCTGAGTCACATATTTCCTGTCTGAAAACTATGGAGAGCTGTATAAGCTAGTATTGTTAGATTCTAGGAGTTTTGTAATGCTGGCTCTATTCAAAACAGAAATAACTTGGCTGGGCGGCGGTGGTGCACGCCTTTAAAATCCCAGCACTCAGGAGGCAGAGGCAGAGGCACACGGATCTCTGTGAGTTCGAGGCCAGCCTGGTCTACAGAGAGAGATCCAGGGCAGGCACCAAAACTACACAGAGAAACCCTGTCTCGAAAAACCAACCCCCCCAAAACAAACAAACAAACAAACAAACCAGAAATAGTTTGTTGTGAGCCACATGTCAAAAAGCCTTTTTTGACATAAGAAAATCAAAAAGTCTATGGGGGGCTAGAGAGATGACTCAGTAGTTAGGAGTGCTTGCTGTTATTCCAGAGGACACAGAGTTATTTCCCAGCACCCACAGGGGCAGGTCACAACCAGGAAATCCTATACTATCTTCTGGGGGTAGCCACACACATGTACATATAACATATACCTGCACACATATAGACATGTACACATAAAATAATAAAAGCATTCTTAAAATAGTCTATAGAAACTAGCTAGAAGCTACCTGTGAGACCATATAGTTTGTCTCTCAACTTGCATAAACTCTCCATGTTGTTTGGGCCAGTGCACTCATCTGTGTGTTCTAGCCATTCATCATTTTCCAGGATCGGACTTGTTCAGTTCACTCTTTTATAGTCATTTAGGAAGTGACTGAGGTTGTTCTTAATTCTTAGAAATTACCATCTTTCATATTTGGACTTGTTTTTGAAATTGCACTTTGCCACTGTGGCAGAGACTAACAGGCAGGTATCTGTTTTCCTCTAGTAGCTTGGACAGACTTGGTTGGTAAGCACTTAGATTTGACTGTAGTAATTATATGATCAGAAAAGTTACTGGAGTAGAGAAGTCAGATTTTAGAATAAAGATTGAGATTTTTAACTTTCCTTTATTAAAAAGATCAGTGGGACAGAAAATATTTTTTTTTTTACCTTGTTAACAACCGCTAAAATACAGAATAAACAAGGAAGTACACATGTAGGAATATAGACACTCTGATATCCTTCTGTTGGTGAGGATGTAAATTGATGTATTCTCTTGTGAACACAGCGAACATTGTCAGTTAAATACAAAACAGCCCATGTGCTAACTTGAATTGCACTTCAAGGAATTTATGTTGTAGAATATGAATTACATTATTCATAAAGGTGAAATTTAGAAATGATCTTGAAGTTCATTTTTGGGAACGTTAAGCAGTTCATATTATGGGATTGGTTCTTACACAACTCTCAGTAGATAATGCAGGAAGGTTTTTGTTACTGTGTTCTTTTCTGTTCTTTCCTCAAACTTGACATCCTGTTTCCTCAGCTTCCCCAAGTAGCTGGAATTACAGGCAAGTGCTGAGACACCTGAGCTGCAGGAGGCTTTTGTGATACCGTGAAATGGGCTTATGATTGCCCTTTCCCCAAAACAGCTAATAACTCTCTATGTGGTTACTGAATTTGAGTTCCTATAGAACCAAAATAGTTTATTAAAAGTAATGATTTTTTTTCTTTTAACAGCTAGAGTTGGGAAGACATCACTGATTATGTCTCTGGTCAGTGAAGAATTTCCAGAAGAGGTAAACATTTAATGTCTTATTTAGAGTGTGTGTGTGTGTGTGTGTGTGTGTGTGTGTGTGTGTGTGTGTGTGTGGTTTTTTTAATTAATAAAAAATAAAGTGATATGTCAGTGCCACCTTCACGTGTTTCTTCAATAGTCAGGACTTTTCAGTTTTTTTTTTTGTTGTTGTTGTTTTTTAATGTGAATTGGTGTGAGGGTGTCAGATCCCCTGGGGCAGGAGTTACAGTTGTGAGCTGCCATATGGGTGCTAGGAATTGAACCCAGGTCCCCTGGAAGAGCAGCCAGTGCTCTTAACCACTGAGCCATCTCTCCAGCCTCCAACAGTCAGTACTTTTAAACAGCTCATATTAGTTTATAGAGGATATCACCTTAAGAAAGAGCCTAAGTTCTCATTTTGTGCCTTTGACTTTGTCATTGAAATTTTGTTTTTGTTTTTTACATTGTGTGTGTGTGTGCACTCGCGATGTGTGTTTGCTATCAGAGGGCAACTAGTGTGAGTCAGTTCTTTCCTTTCATGGGAGTCTTAAGGATTGACTTCAGATTGTCAGTCTCGTTGGCAGGTCACTGAGCTATCCTACCAGCCAATGGCTTTGTCATTTATGTCATCTCTTCGTCTTAGTTGTTTCTTTTTTTTTTCTTTTTTCAGAGCTGAGGACTGAACCCAGGGCCTTGTGCTTGCTAGGCAAGCGCTCTGCCACTGAGCTAAATCCCCAACCCCAGTTGTTTCATTTTTGAAATGGTGGCAAAAAGGGTCACCTGTGTATCCTGTTCTTAGAATTAAAATGTTTTCCAGAACCCCAAACGTGAAAGAGATGCTGAGTTTTGTATGAATTGAAACTAGATTTAGGGTCTGGGTACCACTTGCCTTCTGCCTGGTGCTGTCAGTCTGTGAGATGTTTTTGTCAGAACTACTAGAATTCTGACACAACTAATATTATCTGCCTGCTTCATTTTACAAATTAGTAAATGAGTTCATTCTATTTTGCCTACAGATCCAAAGACTTATGTATAACAGTAAATTAATAATAGTGAAGTGCCACCAGAAACAAGGTGGTGTTATTACTAATAATATATATGTATGTATAATATATCTATTATTGGTATTTTGAGACAGGGTCTCATGTAACTCAGTCCAGCCTCAAACTTACTATGTAGCTCAGGATGACTTTGAACTCCTGTTCTTCCTACCTCCACTTCCCTTGTACTGTGATTACATGTATGTACCACCATATTGGGATATACTTATTTACATTTTGGAAATCCCAGTGTGAGGAGATGCTGTAAAGTTAGGATATTGTTAGAGAAAACAGCTTCTATGCAACAGCATAACAAAATTTTGGATTTTGTTGTTACTGTTAGTTTATCTTGAGGCACAGTCTGTATAGTACAGGTTGGTCTTAACCTTACTATGTAGGCACGGCTGATCTTGAACTTTTCTCTGATCCTTCCGCGTCTCCCTCCCAGATACTGAGATTACAGGTCTGGCTTATCTTTTGTTTCTCTGAAGTCTTGTTAATGTCAGAATTTGAGGCTGGAGAAGATAGCTCAGTACTTAAGAGCACTTGCTGTTCTTCCAAAGGACCTGCATTCAATTCCTAGCACCCGTGTTAGGTGACTTGTAGCTGTAACTTTAGCTCCGGGGCATCCACACTCTTTGTGGCACTCCACCCCCCTCCCCATACACAGGTGGCATGTAAGTGCACACACACGGAAAAATAAAATTAATGTTAGAGTTTGCATTTACCTTTCTTTACTCTTATTTAGAAAGAAATAATCTTATAGGTTTATTGCTGAGCTAGGAATTTGATGCGTCATATGGCAGTGTCTTTGTTTTTCTGGATTCTTGTGGTGGCTGGGATGGAATCCAGGGTCTTGTGCATACCAAGCAAGAGCTTTACTGCAGAGCTATATCTCTCATTGATAGCATTTTCAATATTTATAATTCTGGGTTTTTTTTTGTTTTTTGTTTTCAAGATAGGGTTTCTCTGTGTAGCTTTGGCACCTTTCCTGGAACTCGCTCTGTAGCCCAGGCTGGCCTCAAACTCACAGAGATCTGCCTGGCTCTGCCTCCCGAGTGCTGGGATTAAAGGTGTGCACCACCACCACCACCACCGCCCAGCAACATTTATAATTCTATGGCTGCTATTTTCTTTGTTCCTTTTAGCATTGAAGAATCAAATAGTAATTCCTTAATTTGAAAAATGGAGTGTATTGTGGAATCATTAACATTAATTTAGAATTATTTAGGTTATACTATATAAAGTTCTCTGCAAAAGTTTAACTAAGGAGCTAACAAGATGGCTGAGTGGGAAAGGCACCTATTGCCAAGACTAACAAGCTGATTTTAATTCCCAGGGCCTACATGGTGGAAATACAAAGCTAACTCCACACTGAACTCCATTTGTGTGCTATGATACCCATGCACACAAATAAGTAAACAAAATTTAAAGACTCCAATCCAGCTAGGACTGCATAGTAAGACTCTGTCTCAAGAAAGAAATTTGAAATGTTTAACTGAAGTTAAAGTTGTTTAAGGGTATTCCTCTTGAGTGTGGATATGGGTTTTTTCCCCCCCCATAATTAAATGCAGTTGGGGCTGGAGAGAAGTCTCAGCAGTTAAGAGCACTGGCTGCTCTTCCACAGGACCTGGGTTTGACTCTCAGCACCCAGAGGGTGCCTTACAATTGTCTGTAACTCTAGTTCCAGGGGATCCAGTGCCCTTTTCTGGCCTCCCAAGGATACCATGCATGCATGTGGTTCACAGATACACATGCAAGCAAAACCTATACACATAAAAAGAAAGGAACGGGCCACCATACTTCACAGTTTTGTTAAAAATGTGTATCTTTCTGAAACGTGGAATTATTAACTACAGGGCTAATGGAGCCAACCAGTTATCTAGCCTAGACAAAGTTAATATTTATTGGTTACCTTGAAGGTTGTCATCTTGTTTTGTGTTTTTGTAGAGTTTGCAAGGCTGAGAATTAAACCCAAGGCTGCATGTGCTAGACAAGTTCTCCACCACTGAGTTACACTCGTCAAGACTGCTTTGGATTAACATAGCCACTTATTTGTATAGTGTTTTAAATTCTCAACAAAATAAAATGAGAACCATACGTTTTTTTTTTTTAAACATTTAAAATATGTTTTAAGTTTGTGAAAACTTGAGATATCCTTATTATGGCCTTTGACTACAAAGGTAAAATTTCTTTTCCCTTTAACCTAGGACTGGACATTTGCTAGGCAAACACTCTACCATTGGGTTATATCTCTGCTGGAAAAAAAAAAAATCTCATTTTTTTCTTTGCTTTTGATTTTATTGTTAAAATTTTTATTACATTTCATTTGTTTTCTCTCTCTCTCTGCACATGTACCACGGTACACATTTGGAGGCAAGAGGACACCTTGCGGTTCTCTTTCCTCCATGAGGGTGTGGGGATCAAAAGTGATCACTCAGGTGGTCAGACTCAGCAGCAAGCATCCTTACCTACTGACCCATCTTGCTGGTCCTTAAATAATGTTTTTATGGGGCTGGAGAGATGGCTCAGCGATTAATCCCAGTACCCACATGGCGCTCACAACTGTCTGTAACTGCAGTTCTAGGGAACCCGACACCTTCACACAGACGTACGTGCAGGTAAAATACCAATGTAAATACAAATAAATAGATTTTTAAAAAATGCTTTTGTTTTTGTTTTTGTTTTTTTCAAGGCAGGGTTTCTCTGTAGTTTTGGTGCCTGTCCTGGATCTTGCTCTGTAGACCAGGCTGGCCACGAACTCACAGATATCTGCCTGCCTCTGCCTCGTGAGTTCTGGGATTAAAGGTGTGTGCCACCACTGCCTAGCAAAAAATGTTTTTATTGTAGTTTTATATGATAAAGCACTCTAATGAAAGCATTTTAAAATGCAGTGAATATCTACAAGAATAGTTTTGGAAGAAAGGCCTGATATAGATAAATCTACATGGTCTATTTGTAAGTTTGATGGATAATTTCTCCACATTTTTTTTTGTTTGTTTATATTTGTTTTCAAATAAAGGTTCCTCCTCGGGCAGAAGAAATCACCATTCCAGCTGATGTCACCCCTGAGAGAGTTCCAACACACATTGTTGATTACTCAGGTAATCGGTGGTCTCTTGTGGGTGAGACTCTGGAGTTAATTTAATAGCCCTGCAAACAGAACCTCACTAAGCTCTTAAAAATGTTCAGAAGTTCAGCATTTATGATCACATACTACTCTCACCCCCACTCCACCCCTAGACAGGGTTTCTCTGTGTAGCCCTGGCTGTCCTGGAACTCAATTTGTAGACCAGGCTGGCCTCAAACTCAGAAATCTACCTGCCTCTGCCTCCTGAATGCTGCGATTAAAGGTGTGCGCCACCCCTGCCTGACTAGGTCATATACTACTCCTGCAGAGGACCTGAGTCCAATCCTCAGCACCTACGTCAGATGGCATACAACCTCTTGTAACTCCAGGCTTATCAGTGCCTCTGGCCACCACAGACACATGTGGCGTATACACCCATATACTTGCAATCACACATGCATGTATACTATGCACACATAGATATTTAAAATAGTGAGAAGACTCTGAATTTTAAAATTCGTTTAGGGGCTGAGGATATAATTTTATATAATGTTTTCCTAGCCCTGATTTTGATCTCCAGAATAACACACAAACATGTATATAATGATTTGTTGACCTCTGTATATGTTCTTAAATTTCTCAATCTTTGTTACAAAAATATGAATTAAAATTTAAAAATGAGCCGGGCGGTGGTGGCGCATGCCTTTCGTCCCAGCACTCGGGAAGCAGAGCCAGGCAGATCTCTGTGAGTTCGAGGCCAGCCTGGTCTACAGAGAGAATTCCAGGAAAGGCGCAAAGCTACACAGAGAAACCCTGTCTCGAAAAACCAAAAAAAAAAAAAAAAAAAACCAAGAAAAAAAAAATTTAAAAATGAATGAAAATGGTCACTTTGGGAGCTGAGGCGATTGCTCAGTAAGTAAAGGCCTTGCTGAGCAAACATAAGGACCTGAGTTCAGGCACCCGTACCTGCATAAAGGCTGGGCACTGTGGAACACCAGCACTGGGAAGAGGCAGAGCCAGGCACATCTCAGAGCTCACTGGCCAGCCAGTTGAGCCAGTTTGTGAGCTGCAGGTTTATGAAACAGACGAGTCTGGAAAAACGCAGTGAGAGAAGTAGAGGAAGGACACCTGACATCAACGTCTAACTTCCACATGCATGTACATACACAGACAGGTACACAAAGTTCACCTTATTGTTTCTGATAATTGTAAAACTATACATATTACTGAGTTTATTTACTTATTCAGTATGTATGTGGACATCAGTGTGCTACAATATGTGTGGGGGTCAAGGATACCTTGTTGGATTTGATTCTCTCCTTCCACCATGTTGGGTTCCAGGGGTCGAACTCAGGTCACCAAGACTGGCAGCAAGAGCCCTTACCTACTGAGCCATCTTACCAGCCAGAAAGGGGAACTCTTCTTTCTTCGTTGTCAGGCTACAGTGTGGCCCTGTGCCTTTGTTATTATTACTCCTACCCACTATGTTGATAGTGTCCAGATTCTCTAGTCTTGGGCTCTGTGTCCAGACTCTTGTCCTGTCTGAGCTTCTGGCTCTGAAGTACTCAGTCTTCTTTCTCGAGTTGCTGATCTCTTTTGCCTGACCCTTTTTCTTTTCTATTTTATTTTAATAGTTTATTTAACTTCATTTTATGTGCATTGGTGTGAAGGTGTCAGATCTCCTGGAACTGGAGTTACAGACAGTTGTGAGCTGCCATGTAGGTGCTGGGGACTGAACCGGGGTCCTCTGGAAGAGCAGTCAGTGCTCCTAAGCCCTGAGCCATTTCTCCAGCTCTCTTTCTTTTTCAAGACAGGGTTTCTGTGTGCAACCCTGGCTGTCCTAGAACTCTCTCTGTAGAACAGGCTGGCCTCGAACTCACAGAGATCCGCCTGCCTCTGCCTCCTGAATGCTGGGATTAAAGGCGTGTGCCACCACTGCCCAGCCATCTGATCCTTTTTCAACTCTGGATTAGATACTGGCCTAGATCTTTGTCACAGTGCCTCTGCCCTTCAGTGCTGGAATTGCCCTCTTGAAAATTTCTTCTTGCTAACCAGCTTTCTTATCTTGGTTCAACTTTTTCTTCCTCTGGATCACTCTTATTTTGGTACCTTGTCTGGCTTTACACTTTATCATTTTGAAGATTTATTGATTTTTATGAGTATGTATCTGTGCCTATAGGTATGTAAATGTATCATGTTTATGCTTAGTGCCCATGGAGGCCAGAGGAGGCTGTAGGATTCCCCTGAATCTGGAGTTATAGATAATTATGAGCTGCTGTGTAGGTGCTGAAAACCAAACATGGTCCTCTGAAAGAGCAACAAGTGCTCTTAACTGAAGAACCATCGGTGTCAATTTTCTTAGGTGGATGTTACATCAATTTTTTTTTTTTTTTGCTTGACTGTTACGAAAGTTTTTAAAATACAAAATACTGACTTTGTCATTTGTAGAAGCAGAACAGAGTGATGAACAACTTCATCAGGAAATATCACAGGTATGTGTAAAAAAGTCATTGTGTGTGTGTGTGTGTGTGTGTGTGTATGTACACGTGTACATGAACAGTGATAATTTTATGAGTCTTTCTTTTTAGTTCTCTTACCAAGAATATGCTTCTTCTGAGGGCCAGTTGGGGATTGAGACCGTTTCTTGTAGCCCAGACTGGCATTGAATTCTCAGTGTAGTTGGGGCTTGTCTTGATCCCCCTGCCTCCTCTTCTTGAGTGCTGTATAGGTGTGTGCTACCATGCTCAAGTTTACCAGGAATTTCTCAACTCTTTGTTATTGTCATTGGTATTTGAGTCTATATTTTTTGCTCTAGTTCTTTAGGGATACTTTCCTCTTATAGGCAGGTTTTTCTGCTTCAAAAAATTTCCCCCTTTGGCTGAAAAATCTTAGGTAGTTAATAAATAAATCCTGTTGTGTGTATTTTATTTCAAAGTGCCACTAACTTGTTAATTTTTCTTCTAGGCTAATGTCATCTGCATAGTTTATGCTGTTAACAACAAACATTCTATTGATAAGGTATATTTAAATTAAATATGGTACTTTTTATTTACTTTTTTGAGGCAGGTCCTTTTGTTTCTGTTTTTTGAGACAGGGTTTCTTTGTGTAGCCTTGACTGTCGTGGAACTTGCTGTGTAGACCATGCTAGCCTGGAACTCACAGAGATCCGCCTGCCTCTGCTTCTAGAGTGCTGAGATCAAAGGTGTTTGCCACCACCACTCATGGAGGCAGGCTCTTATTATATAGCTTAGGTCTGGAATTGTTAGATAGCCTAGGGTGGCAATGAACTTGCAGTCCTCTTGCTTCAAGTTTTTTTCTTTTTCTTTTGTTTTTTGAGACAGGATCTCTCTCTATGTAGCCCTGGCTATACTGGAACTCTGAAGATCAGGCTAGCCTCTGACTCACAGAGATCCGACTGCCTCTGTCTTCCAAGTGTTGGGATCAAAGGCGTGCTCCACCACTGCCCAGCTTTATTTTTGTTTTTAAGGTAGTGTCTTGTTCTGTAGCCTAAGCTGGCGTGGAATTCACGATCTTCCTGCCTTAGTCTGGGATTCCAAATATGTGCCACCATGCCTAGTTTTAATGGGACAAATCTGATCAAAGCTGACTCTCCAGTGAGATTTTTAAGGACTCCTAACAAAGAGAGGAGAGATTGCTCAGAGGGTCAGCTGGCTCAGAGGCTGCTCTTCTGTGACTCCATTTCAGTTGTAGGCACCTCTGTGCACCAGGCCTACACATGTAGACACAACACTCATAAGCATAACATAGTATTTTTTTAAAAGTATGCTTTTTCTTTTTTGTCCTGCCACTTTTTTTTTTTTTTTAAAGGACAGAATCTAATCTCACTATGTAGCTCTGGCTGGCCTGGAACTCCATATGTAGACCAGATTGGCCTTGAACTCAGAAATTTCCCTGCCTCTGCCTCCTGAGTGACAGAAGTAAAGGTGTACAGCTTTTCAAAGATCTGTATCATGGCTTAACTCCTACTTATTTTCATTTTAGGTAACAAGCCGATGGATTCCGCTCATAAATGAAAGAACAGACAAAGACAGCAGGTATTTTTTTCTTTCAAACTTTTTTTTTTGAAAATTTCAAACGTAGTGAAAAGATGGAAGAAATACTAACAAACATATCTGTAAAGCCTTTACTTAGATCCACTGGTTATTAACATGTTCCACATTTGGTTTTTCTTTCAAATATTTATTTGTGTGTATCTGTTTGTGTGTGTGTGTGTGTGTGTGTGTGTGTGTGTGTGTGTGTGTGTGTGTGTGTGTGTATGTATGCTTGTGTGTGCATGCATGTACACATAGGTATCAGAGTACAATGTGCAGGATTAAGGGCTGAAGTGGTTAAGGGCACTTGTTGTTTCAAAGGACCTGGGTTGGATTCCCAGTGCCCATATAGAGTCTCACCATCTCCTCAGGCACCAGGCACAAGTGTGGTACACAGGTATACGTGCAGGCAAAACACTCACCCATAAACTAATAAAAAAATACATCTAGGTAGGCGGTGGTGATACATGCCTTTAATCCCAGCACTCAGGAGACAGAGGCAGGTGGATCTCTGTGAGTTCAAGGCCAGCCTGGTCTACAAATTGAGTTCCAGGACAGCCAGAGCTACGAGAAACCCTGTCTTGGGAGAAAGAAAAAGACAGATTTGGTTGTCCCCTTTTATTGTGTTGATTCCAGAATGGAATTCAAGGTTGGCAGTAAGTGCCTTTACCTGCTGAGCTGTGTCCCTGGCTCTCTACATTGGTTTTTATCAGTTTCTCTCTGATCACCTACCTTCATACACCACTGCATACCTTTGTGGGGGCAGGAGTGATTAGAAAAAATAAATAGATTTGAAAGCAAAGCAGAAAACAGCTCTGACATTGTAAAGATTCGTAATTATTGACAGATTGAATATTTTAGTAATCCTGCATTTCTGATCACAAACTGCTGCTTGAGTCTATCTGGGAGTCTGCCTTTGCCTGTATTGTATGCCCTCTCTTGAGTTGCTTCTTCAATGAAGTGTGGAATTGTTGATTGCTCATAATGTGAACAGTTGTTTGTAGCACGAATCCTAATTGGTCTTATTAATAAAAACCCAGAGTCAGATATCAGGGTGAAAGCTGAAAGATCAGAGAAGGAGAGCAGCCAGCCACTAGTTCTTACCTCTACAAAATGCTCAGCCAAAAAGGAGAACTCAGCTCCTGTCTCCTCCTGACTTATATTCCTCTCTCTGCCCAGCCATATCACTTCCTGTCTCCATCTCCCTAGTGCTGGGATTAAAGTCATGAGATCTCAAGTACTGGGATCCAAGGTGTGTGTCTAAATAGAATGGTAGTTCTCTGCATAAAGGTTTTCAATTTTAAGTCAGAAGAAAACATTTTCCTTCCAATATTTAATTGGTCAAACATTATTTTTATTATTCCTTCTTTCTCTCTTTCTTTTCTTCCTTTCTTTCTTTTTTTTTTTTTTTTTAAACACAGAGTCTCACTCTATAGAATGTAGGCTGGCTTGAATTCACAGAGTCCCACCTGCCTCTACCTCCCAAGTGCTGGGGTTAAAGTGTATGCCTCTGGTGTGTTCATACCCGGCTTTCAATTTTTTTTTTCCCTTTGAGACAGGTTCTCCTCATGTAGACCAGGCTGACCTCAAGCTCACAGAGATCTGACTGCCTCCTGAGTGCTGGTGTTAAATGTTTGTGCCACCACTCCTGGCCCAGCATTTTAATCTTTTTTAAAAAATGATTGATTTACTTGTTTTTATTTATGTGTATGTGTGACGTTTGTTGCACTGTATGCATGCTGCAGAGGCTATAAGAGGGTATTAGATCCTCTGTAACTGTAACTTGCAGAAGCTCAGTAGCTATCTGTGGCTGGTGGTTATAGTAATAGTGCAACCAAAGACCATCATCATTTCAGAAGGTGTTAACACATGCTTTTTTAAAATTTTTTAATTTTTTTTTTTTTTTTTTGTTTGTTTGTTTTGTTTTGTTTTTCGAGACAGGGTTTCTCTGTGTAGCTTTGCGCCTTTCCTGGAACTCACTTGGTAGTCCAGGCTGGCCTCGAACTCACAGAGATCCGCCTGGCTCTGCCTCCCGAGTGCTGGGATTAAAGGCGTGCGCCACCACCGCCCGGCAAAATTTTTTAATTTTTTTAAAAAAATTTTATATGCATTAGTGTTTTGCCATGGGGTTTGTGTCCCCTGGAACTGAAGTTACAGACAGTTGTGAGCTGCCATGTGGCTGCTGGGAACTGAACTCAGCTCCTCTGGAAGAGCAATCAGTGCTCTTAACCGCTGAGCCACCTCCCCAGCCCCTGGCACATGTCTTTAATCCCAGCAAGGGATTCTGTGAGTTTGAGGCCAGCCTGGTCTATATAACGAATTCTAGGACAGCCAGGAATATTTGGAAAGACCCTGTCTCAAAAAACAAACAAAGAAGACCATCATCATACTATGTTGTATTCAACAGTGATGCCTTAAAGGCTATGACACCCACATGCTCTTGGCCCTTTCTCCTTGTTGGAGCTATTTCTAGGAGGACCTCTCTGGAGAAGAGAGCATATTTGGCCAGTATCTGTGAAGAACCAATTTATGTCATGGAATTTAGAAACTTTGGCTTTATTGTCACTAAAATACTGTGGCTTCTTTGTGGTCCTTGTTTTATCTTCAATTTCATTTCATTTTAGAGTCATAGAATCTCACTATATTTCCCGGGCTATTCTCAAACTTGTAATCTTCCTGCTTCCACCTACAGGTAGTCAGGACGAAAGGTTACACCACTGTCCTCTGCTGGTGGCCTGTATGGTGCCATATGCAAATGTCTTTGGGCGCTTGAAGCAGTAGTGTGTGTAGTGCCGTCATGGGTGAGCTTGTCCTTGACGTTCGTGTTTTCTTTCTTGAAGCACATGAGGACACTTACTTTCCTGAGTATTGATTTTTCCCAAATTGCAGTACTTTTTGACTTTATTATTATTTGTTTTGAGACAGGTTCTCACTGAGTAGTGTAGACTGATCTTAAACTCAAAATCCTGCCTCAGCCTCCCAGTTGCTGGCATTATATGTGTGCACTGCCATGCCTGTATGAACCTTATATTTTCCAGTAACTTTTCCTAAGCCTCATGTCTGCAGTTTGTTTTTGGTGCATGCCTGTTCTTCCTTAGGACTCTTTTTAGATCAGTGTCTCTTAGTTTTAAATCAGTGTCACTGTCATCTAAGAGACTTTTAAAAAACTACAGAGACTTCCATTTTAGCCTGGGATTTTAGAACTGACAAACGTGGAATTGGGTTAAAACATTCATTTTTTTAACATTCTAAAAATTATTCTGATGCACACCTTTTGTTATAAACTACTGTGTTTCTTAATTCTTCCTAATTTTGTTAGCAGTCTATACTTGGGCACCATAAGCAATAAAAATCACACTGAAGGTAAGGGGTGTTTAACTGAGTGCTGCAGGTGTTTCTATTGGGATCCTGGAGTCTAGTAAAATGATTTGTTTTGCCTCCAGGCTGCATTTCAAACTCAAAAGTAACAGTCTCCACTACTCTGATGTCTTTGATAACCCATTTTTTTTTTTTTTTTTTTTTTTTTTTTTTTTTTTGGTTTTTCGAGACAGGGTTTCTCTGTGTAGCTTTGCGCCTTTCCTGGAACTCACTTGGTAGCCCAGGCTGGCCTCGAACTCACAGAGATCCGCCTGGCTCTGCCTCCCGAGTGCTGGGATTAAAGGCGTGCGCCACCACCGCCCGGCTGATAACCCATTTTGATTGCTCATAGGCCTCTCAGTTTTCACTTACCCAAAACAAGATCTTTAAGTTCTCTGTATGCTTTCTGCCTGGAAATGTTTTATTCACATTTCTGTTTACCATGTATGTGCCTGGTGCCCCCAGAGGTCAGAAAAGGGTGTCAGATCCTCTCGAACTGGAGTTAAAGACGGTTGTGAGCTGCCATCTGGGTGCTGGGAAATGAACTGGGTCCTTTCCAAGAACAATGAGTACTTTTAACCATGGAGCCATTACTGTAGCCCTCAAGACACCATATTTTTATTTTTATTTTTGCTTTTTAATTTTATTGTATTGCTGTTTTGCCTCTGTGAGGGTTTTGGATTTTGAAGTTACAGACAGTTGTGAGCTATCATGTGGGTGCTGGGAACTGAACCGGGGTCTCCTGGGACATCAGTCAGTGCTCTTTACCACTGAGCCATCTCTCCAGCTCTGCCACCGTACTTTTAAAAAGCTTTTTCTGGGCCAGTGAGATGGTTCTGTTGCTAAAGGCAACAACCCTGAGGACATGGTGACCCCTAGAATACACAGAGAGAGAGAGAGAGACAGACAGAGACTAGATAAATAAATTAAAATAAATAACTAAAAGCTTTGTCCAGACTTTGAGATGGCACAGTTGCTCTTGCTGCTAAGCCTGACAACCTGAGTTTGATTTCCAGGATACACATGGTGGGAAAAGAAACGAATCCAAAAAGTTGTCCTCTGACCTCCCCTTGGACATGGCATACTTGAACACACACACACACACACACACACACACACACACACACACACACACACACAAATGTAGTAAAGAAAATTTTTTAAAAGCCTTTTTAGTTCTTTTACCTTTTTTATTGTCTCCATAACAAAATTATCTTAACTGGGTGGTGGTGGCGCACGCCTTTAATCCCAGCACTCAGGAGGCAGAGGCAGGTGGATCTCTGAGTTTGAGGCCAGCCTGGACTACAGAGTTCCAGGACACCCAGGGCTACACAGAGAGACCCTGTCTTGAAAAACAAACAAAAACAAAAACCCTAAAATCATCTTAGAACTGGATCATGGCTTTTTCTCTTCTTACTGCCTCCCAGGTCATAATGCTCACACCTCTGAAAGCCAGCATTCTCTTAAATCGCAGTCAGGCTCAGCACACTCAACTCCAGTCTTTGTAACGTCAGCCTTTTTGTGGAAAATAAGCATAGTCTGCCTACCATAGCTGCTCAGCTCCCTGTCGTAATTCCACTGGACCTGGACATAGATTCCCTCCCTTTCTTTATTTTATGTATATGAGTGCCCTATCTGCATTCATATGTGTGTATGTATGTATTTATGCCAGAAGAGGGCATCAGATCCCATAGAGGTGGTTGTGAGCCGCCATGTGGTTGCTGGGAATTGAACTCAGGACCTCTGGAAGAGCAGCCAGTGCTCTTAACCGCTGAGGTGTCTCTGCAGCCCTCTTTTCTCTTCCTTATATTGTGTCACTTTGTAGGGCTGGTGCCCGCCACATTTGTTGCAGAAAGTCTGGTGGCTTTTAGGACCATTCACCATGTTTGTGAGAATTAGCAGCCAAGGTTTTTTCCTTCTGAAAGAGAGAGAGAGAGAGAGAGAGAGAGAGAGAGAGAGAGAGAGAGAGAGAGAGAGAGAGTCAATAGTGTCACCTAGCTTCAACAGTTAATTCAGGACCAGTCTTGTTTATCTATCCCATTGGGACCATTTTGAAGCAAACAGATATCATACCAAGTTGTAAATATTTCACTATGTATCTCTGAAAAGTAGAAGATCACATTCCCAGAACCCCCATGATGGCTCAGCAGTTAGGAACACTGGCTGCTCTTACAGAAAATCCAGGTTTGATTTTGAGCACCCGCATGGTGGCTTACAACTCTCTAACTCTAGTTCTAGGGGATCCAATGTCTTCTTCCGACTTCTTTGGGTGCCAGGCATGCACATGGCATACATACATACATATACGGGCAAAGCACTCATACACATAAAAAACTAAAACAAAACAAAAACTTAAGTATTGAGTTCAGTGGTATCAGATACATTCAAATAGTAATATAAAAAATAAATTCATTGATTAGATCAGATATTGCCCCTGCTTATAGCTCTTCATTGGCTTCTCATTTATACTAGTGATACAACCTACATTCCTTATCACAGCGTATAAGTCTTAATGTGTCTGGCCTTTCATCCTCAGTGTAACCCATTTCTTACCTTTTCCTTGTTTATCACTCTCCATTCTGGGATATTTTTCCTCTTCTCTGACCCCACCAGGATGTTCATACTTTCTCTTCTTCCCAGCCAACTCTCCCTGCCCTCCATGTGGCAGATTTCATCTTGTCCCTCAATCCTTGGCTCAAACACCATTCCCTGAAGAGAAATTTTTTGATCATCTCCCTCCCATTATTCTGTCCTGTGCCTCCCCATTTAGTTCATTCATGACACTGAGTTAGAAATTAGGTACTGCTCGTTTTCTGGTTTTCACTATTCAAATGAGAGGGAACTTTTTCTTTCTTTTTTATTTTATTTTATGTGCACTGGTGTTTTGCCTGCATGTGTGTCTGTGTGAGGGTGTCAGGTCCCCTGGAACTGGAGTTACAGTCAGTTGTGAGACATCATGGGGGTGCTGGGAATTGAACCTTTGGAAGAGTGGCCAGTGCTCTTAACCGTTGAACCATCTCTCCAGTGCCAGAGGAACTTTTTTCTTAATGCCCTTAATATTTACAAGAGTGTGTAACTTGAAACAGGTGCTGTATAAACGGACATTGACTGACTGAATGAACCTACTCTCTGGGGGCCTTGAACAGAGTATAGTGGACAAGTTACGTTTGGAAGATTAAAGCTTTTTAGTTAGAATGGGTAATGATGTAGGTGAAAATAGAAATCTAACATCGTTTGTTTTCTTTATTGCATTAATGCCCTATTTCAGGCTGCCTTTGATATTAGTTGGGAACAAATCTGATTTGGTGGAATATAGTAGTATGGAGACCATCCTTCCTATTATGAACCAATATACAGAAATAGAAACCTGTGTGGAGGTATGTCTCATGGGCAGGGGGGATTATGTGGGATGGAATAAATTTTCTGTTCTTTGTGAAGTCATATAAACCAAATAAAACAGAGAATTTAAAAGTTTTCTTCATAAGCTCTATGTTTCTTTATAAATTGGTACTGTCCACAAAGGAAAATTTATTTTTCAGTTTCTTCAAGGAATCTTACTCTTACCTTACTGACTTTCTTTTTTTCTGCTAAGCCAAGTGGATGTAGATGTAGTAAGAGAAAATGAGCAAAACTCCTGGGAGTGGAGGGGATTCCGAAGGAGGACTATCCTATATTGACACTTTAAAAATTGTTTTTAGCTATCATAATTGATTTCAGAGTATAAAATTGAAAACTTTTATTTTTTATTTTATTTTTTTAGTGTTCAGCAAAAAACCTGAAGAATATATCAGAGCTGTTTTATTATGCACAGAAAGCTGTTCTTCATCCTACAGGGCCTCTGTACTGCCCAGAGGAGAAAGAGGTAACCCCAGGCTGTGTTCTGTGGGCCTGAGTGATGCAGTATGGTCATGGGTGATAGTGATGTTTAGCTTTTTTTTTTTTTTAATTTTTTAAAATTATTTATTTATTTTATTTTTCTATTATCAGCTTGATACAGTATAAATTCTTATCCTAATAGTGAAATGTTTCATTGAGGCTTGCCCAGTATTTGAGTAAAACCAAATCTTATTATAAGCTACAGTCATCTGTTTAGCTTTTTATAAAGATGAAGCTATTGAAATTGAATTGTGGGCAGGGCGGTGGTCCCCATACTCAGGAGGCAGAGCCAGGCGGATCTCTATGAGTTCGAGGCCAGCCTGGTCTACAGAGCGAGATCCAGGGCAGGCACCAAAAGTACACGGAGAAACTCTGTCTCAAAAACCAAAAAAAAGAAGAAAAAAAAAAGAAATTGAATTGTGTTGCTTATTAAATTGTTAAATTGAGTGTTCTGGTTCAGCGACACTGCCACTGACATTGTGTCTTCATAGAGTTTCCAGTTTAAGTCTTCTTAGATTGTACCGCTGACACACAGCACTGGCGACACTCACAGAGCAGCCAAGACTCAATTCTTTCCTCACTGTGCAACTGTGAACTTACCCCTTCATTTTCTATTGATTTATTTTATGAGGTGGATGTATGCCATGGCGTGCATAGAGGTCAGAGGACAGCTTGTGGAAATCAGTTCTTTCTTTCCACTGTTTGGGTCAGATGTCAGGCTTGGTAGCAAGTATTCTTTACCCATTAATCCATCTATCTCATCAGCCCTGACAATCTGTCAATCTAAGCAAAAACTTGGGTAGTGATTTTGTTTGTTTGGTTTCAGTAATTGATCTCAGGGCTCTGTGCATAGTAAGTGAATATGCTACCCACCCCTGAGCTACATTCTCAGACCTCTTATAATTTTTTGTCCTGGGTACATGTGATGTAGCCTGGATATACTTTCATAGGTAAGAAATACAGTAATTCCATTGAGAAATACCCAGAATCTAATAAAATTTTGCAATAGATAAAAAACTGATTTTTTTTTTAAAGATAACGTGACACAAAGCTCACCTCTTTCATGCATACAATTAAGTGAGTTTTAGTATATTCAGAAAGGGACCTACCTCTAACCTAGCTCCACTGCCTTATATACTTCCCCAGAGAAACCCTGTGGCCATTAGCAGTCACTCCTCACCTCCCTTTGTCCCTCCTGGATGGTCACTGACAGTGGAGGCACCAATGAATAGCTTTTATTTCTCTTTTCTTTCACCAGCACTGTGTTCAAGGTTCACTCATGCTGTAGTGTGTATCAGTATTTCATTTCTTCTAGTTAAAAAAATGTCATCATATGGAAGAAGCAACTCTTCATTTCTTTATGTTTTGACATCTACTGAAGTAGTTTCTTCCTTTTGACTGTTGTGAATGGGCTGTTGTTAACTTGTTCACGAACAAGTTTTTTTCTTGAGACACCTGTTTTCAGTTCTTTTCCATCTGTGTGTAGCATTGGTGTTGCTGAGTAACAGGACTATTGTATGTTTAACTAAGGGAGGAACCACCACTCTTCCCACAGTGGCAGGAAATACTGTCCATTCCCACCTGTCATGTATAAAGATCCAATTTTTGTTTGTTTCCCTTTCTTTTGTTTTGTTTTCTGAGACAGGGTTTCTCTGTGTAGCCCTGGCCTTCCTGGAACTCACTCTGTAGATGTGACTGGCCTTGTACTCACAGAGATCCACCTGCCTCTGCCTCCGGAGTGCTAGGATTAAAGGTGTGCGCCAGCACTCCATCTCTGTTTCTTGTTCTGTCTCTCACCCCCATCCTCTCATTTTCATGTATCCCGGGGTATGTTTATATGATGTATAGCTGACGATGACCTAGAGCTTCTGATTCTCCTACCTTTCTTTCCCAAATGTTAAGATTACTGGTATTCACTGCCATACCCCGATGAAATTCCCAACTTATTTACATCTTTGCAGCAGTCATTTATGCTTTGGGTCTTTTGGTTTATTACAGTCATCCTAGAAAATACCACTTTAGAGGCTGGAGAGATGGATCATCATTAAGTGCACTAACTGCTCTTCCAGAGGACCCGGGTTCAATTCCTAGCACCCACATAGTAGCTAACAACGGTCTAACTCCCAAGATCTGACAGCCACACACATCACACACAGACATACATACAGACAAAACACCAATGCACATAAAATAAAATAATAATGATAAATTTTTAAAAAGAAATATCACTTTATTTCATTGTGATTTTAATTTATATTATCCTGATGACTAATGATTTTAAACAATTTTTAAAAAACTTTTTAAATTTGTTTTTCTCTTCTGTGCATTGGTGCTTTGCCTTCACTTCATGTATGTCTAGGTGAAGGTGTCATGTCCCCTGGACCTGGAGTTAAGTGGAGTTATGACAGCTGTGAGCCACTGTGTGGGTGCTGGGAATTGAACTGGAAGAGCAGTCAGTGCTCTTAACCGCTGAGCCAGCTCTCCAGCCCCTTAAACAATGTTTTTATATTCTCATTTATGTGTCTACTTTGGCAAAATATCTACTCAAGGACCTACTATGCCCATTTTTAAGTTAGATTAATTTTTACTTTACTTTATTTTATTTTATTTTGGTTTTTTGAGACAGGGTTTCTCTGTGGGAGCCTGTCCTAGAACTCACTCTGTAGACCAGGCTGGCCTCGAACTCACTGAGATCTACCTGCCTATGCCTCCCAAGTGCTGGGATTAAAGGCATGCATCACCACTGCCTGCCTTCATTTTATTTTTTAAGATTTATTTATATATTCTGTGTTCTGTCTGCATGTATGCTTGGATGCCAGAAGAGGGCACCAGATCTCATTATAGATGTTTGTGAGCCATCATGTGGTTGCTGTGACTAGAACTCAGGACCTCTGGAAGAGCAGCCAGTGCTCTTAACCTCTGAGCCATCTCTCCAGCCCTACATTAATTTTTATTGAGGTATTTTTTAAAAACAATTTTAGATTTACTTATTATTTTATGTGTATCAGTATTTTGCCTGCATGCATGTATGTGTACCATGTGCATGCATGGTGCCTGAGAAGGTTAGAAGAGGATGTCAGATCCCTTGTAACTGGATCATTGTGAGCCAGTGTGGTGTGCTGGGAATCAAACCTGGGTCCTCTGTAAAAGCAACAAGTGCTCTTAACTGCTGAGCCAACTCTTCAACCCTAAGGGTTTTGTTTTGTTTGGTCTCACTGTGTAGCTCTCTCTGTCCTGGAACTCACTCTGTAGTATCTGCCTGCCTCTGCCTTCCCAATGCTAGGATTAAAAGTGAAATAAAATTTTGGAGGGCTTGAAGGACGGCTCAGCAGTTAAGGGCATTTCTTTGTCTTCCAGAAGTCCTAAGTTTGGATTCTAGTGTCTGCATCCTTATCTTTTCCAGGTACTCACATATATGTGGCATGTAGACAGATAAACACACAGAAATAAATCTAAAGATACATAAAAATTTGCAGTTTATAATATTGTTGAGTAGTTGGAAAATTGAAACCCCCTAGCCAAACTTGGCTTTTGTACAACGTATGAGCTATGAATACATTTTATGTATTTTTTTTTTTTTTCTTAGACAGGGTTTCTCTGTGTAGCTTTGGAACCTGTCCTGGAACTCTATCTGTAGACCAGGCTGGCTTCTGCCTCCTGAGTGCTGGGACTAAGAACGCGCACCACCACCACCACCACCTGGCCATTTTGTGTATTTTTAAATATTGAAGAAAATGAAAAGGAAGTGTATTTTATGATATGTCAAACTGTCTTACATTGGCATAGCAGCCATTGTTTGTTTAGATCCGTGGCTCTGTGAGTGGTTTGAGCAGTGCTGCAGTTTAGTCCTGTCAGCCCCACTGCTGCCTAGAGTGCCACTTACCACTGTGTGTTGTGACACTTCCCAAGTGCCACATCCCATTCCAGGACAAGACAGATGGCAAGGAGATTTTCAGGAGCAAAGCACTTACAGCTCATAAACCCAGGCTTCAGATGCAGCAGTGTTTGTTTTTCAAGCTTTGATGCAAGTTGAAGGAAATTTCCATGTTTTCATAGTCCATCTAACTCTATAGTTGATTTTCTTCCAGATCTCTAACTGGAACTGATGAATCTGCAGTGTAGTTGTATTGGGGGTGGAAAAAAAAAGATGCCAAGGAAAGAGTCTAATACAGCTCTATAGATGCCTTCCAAGTCATGGATTTTCCCAATTAAAATCATGTTTGTTGGGCTGGTGAGATGTCTCATTGCATAAAGGCCCTTGCCACTAAGCCTGTGAGCCTGAGGTCAATTCCTGGGACTTGCATGCTGGAAGGAGAGAACCAACTTTTGAGGCTTGTCCTCTGACCTCCATGCATGTGCTGTGGCACAGTCATGCTCCCCCTCCCAAAGAAATAAAGATAATTAAAAAAAAAAAAAACATATTGTGCAGCTAGATGTGCCGGCACACACTTTTAATCCCAGCACTAGGGAGGCAGAGAAAGGAGGAGCTCTGAGTTTGAGGCCAGCCTGGTCTACATAGCAACTACATAGAGAGACCCTGTCTCAAAGAAAAACAAGAAAAAAAGCAAAAGCATGGTATGTGTGTATCAGTATTTGACAATAGAGATTGCTACAAAAAAAAGTCTTAAGAGGCAACGTGAAATCTCATTGCAGATCAGCAGTGATAGATAAGCATTTACAGCTGATATTCCAGTAGAAAACACTAACTTTGAACCCCAAGTTAGTAAAATTCGATCCCTTCAGGAGAATTCTGTTTGTTTGTTTGTTTGTTTGTTTGAGACAGGATTTCTCTCAGTAATCCTGGCTGTCCTAGAACTCGATCTGTAGATAAGGCTAGCCTCAAACTCAGAGATTCATCTACCACAGGAATACACCACCACCTCCCTGCAAATTCTATTTCCTTTTTTTTCCAGACAGGGTTTCTCTGTGTAGCCCTAGTTTCCTGGAACTCACGTTGTAGACCAGACTGGCCTCAAGACTCACAGAGATCCTCCTGCCTCTGCCTCCTGAGTGCTGGGATTAAAGGTGTGTGCCACCACTACCCAGTGAGTTCTATTTTCTTTAGTGACTAAATTACAAAATTGTACTCACTTGTTACTGCATTAACATTTTAAGTGTTGTCAGTAAAACAGGAATTCATGCTATGTAAATAAAAACCACATGTTATCTGTGATTTTGCATATTTGGCTCCAAAGCTTAAAATATTCCTGTTGTCTTGACAGAAAAATAATTAGTCTTGAGTTATCCCTTAATCTCACCATAGTTTCTCATTTTTATTCTTAATTTATGATTCCTTAAGTTTTTTTTTGTTTGTTTTGTTTTGTTTTTCAAGACAGAGTTTCTCTGTGTAGCTTCGTGCCTTTCCTGGAACTCGCTTTGGAGACCAGGTTGGCCTCGGACTCACAAAGATCCGCCTGGCTCTGCCTCTTGAGTGCTGGGATTAAAGGCGTGCGCCACCACCACTCCCGGCAAGTTTTTTAAAGTTATCTTTAACCTGGTGTTTCCTAGACAGGGTTTCTCTGTGTAGCACTGGTTGTCCTGGAACTCACCGTAGATTGCTGGGGTTGAAGATGTGTGCCACTACCACCTTAGTTCATTCTGAATTCTTTAACTGTTGCTCTGTTCTTAGGCCTATTATTAGTTCTGCTCATCTGCTGATCCCCTGCCCTTCCCTCAGTCACTGAATAAAGCCATTCAGTTCTCAGGTATATCTAATAAATAAAATACCATACAAAATTTTAAACTTTTAGACTATATATTGTTTTATATGTGTATGAGCTTTAAGTCTAAGCTTTACTAGAATGTTTTTTTTTTTTTGAGAGCTTGCCTCAAAAAATGTAATAATAGTACCATGCCCGTGACTTTATTCACAGCACTCAGGAAGCAGAGGTAGGTGGATCTCTCTGAGTTCAAGGCCAGCCTGGTCTACAGAGTGAGTTCCAGGACAACCAGGGCTATGTAGAGAGATCCTGTCTCAACAAAACAAAACAACAAAAAAAGAATTTTTCTTTTGGGGGCCGGAGAGATAGCTAAGAGGTTAAGAGTGTGAACTACTTGCTGGGCTGGTGGCGCACGCCTTTAATCCCAGCACTCGGGAGGCAGAGCCAGGCAGATCTCTGAGTTCGTGGCCAGCCTGGTCTACAAAGTGAGTTCCAGGAAAGGCGCCAAACTACACAGAGAAACCCTGTCTCGAAAAACAAACAAACAAACAACTTTTTTTTAAGTGTGTACTACTCTACTACTCTTGCAGAGGACCTGAGTTCAGTGCCCAGCACTCACATGTAGTGTTTCACAACTGCCTGTAACTGTAGCTCCAGGGAGATCCGACACCTCTGTGCTCTAAGAGCACCCACACTCAAGTGCATATACTCATACACAGGCAAATACGCACAATTAAAAATAAAAAAAAATAAAAATTTTTAAAAACTTTGTTTTGCACACACACACACACACCCGCCTTATTTGTGTATACATACACAAGTGTGTGTGTGTGTGTGTGTGTGTGTGTGTGTGTGGGTGAGTATAGAGGTCAGAGGATAGCATTTGGGAGTTGGTTCTCTTCTTTCCACTGTGTTAGTCCTGATGATCTAACTCAGGTCATTGGGCTATAATAGGCAGGCTAAGCCATTTTGCCAGCCCCAAATTCTGCAATTCAGTTTCATATTACAATCACAACTGTTACCATTACCATTTTTCTCTGGGTAATCATAGGAATGACATTATAAATTAATGAATATGCTTTTTCATCCCGCATCTTGTTCTCTGATTCAAATGGGTTCGTAAGACTCTACCTCCAGGAACTATATGTAAAACATAATAAGTACTCTTTATGACAAAGCTGTATTGAAAATGACCTTAAGGAGATTATTGCAGTATGTATTGAATATGACATACTCTTGCTGAGAGAGGGTATAGGAATGAATCTACCTCCAAGTTTAAATAAACTTCAGGAATCTTCCTCCAGGTTTGATGGTACACACCTTTAATCCTAGCTCTTGGGAGGCAGAGGCAGGTGGATCTCTGAGTTCAAAGCCATAGGTTCAGTCCTCTGTACTTAAAAAAATGTAAATGGCTTGGCTTTAGTTCATTTCTCTGTTATCAGTTTTTGATGTTAAATAAAAGTTATCAGAAGCTTTCTCAGTATTATTTGTGAAAATTGTATTTTAAATTATTTTGTTTCTTTTCTCGCTGTTGTATAGATGAAACCAGCTTGTATAAAAGCCCTCACTCGTATATTTAAAATATCTGATCAAGATAATGATGGCACTCTGAATGATGCTGAACTCAACTTCTTTCAGGTAACTGTCTTGAGCTTCAGATTAACAGTATGCCACTAAGCAACCTGTTCTCTTATCTGTAAGACTATGACATCCAACTATTAAATCTTAAAATATGAAAAGCCTATTATGCCTAGGAACTGAGACTTTTTGATAGTTTGAGGTTGTGGTATTCAGTGGGTGTATGAAGAATGACAAACTGTAAATCACTGTGATTTCTGAATTTTATATTATGTGACCACACAAAGACTTTGTTTCTCAAACAGAGTGAGAAGTGCTGGAGGTTTCTTTCTTGACATACATTATTTTCTTTCTTTCATAACATACTTCACTTAAATAATAGGAAATAGAGATGACATTTACTTGTTTCTTTTGGTTGTAGCACTTTGAGTTTGTAGACTAACACTGTTTTATATTATTTGTGGATTTATATTCTGGTTTGTTTTAAAATTTATTTTATTTTATGTTTTTGCTAGAGAATTTGTTTCAACACTCCTTTAGCTCCTCAAGCTCTGGAAGATGTCAAGAATGTGGTTAGAAAACACTTAAGTGACGGTGTGGCTGACAGTGGGTTGACGCTGAGAGGTAGGGAATGGGTTCTTCATCACTTTCTCCCCAGGTGCTGGGTGTTCACCTAGGGCCTTACTCATTAATCATATTTCTAGCCCATTTCCCAACCTTCTAAATTTAATATTTCAAATAGCATTATTCATACATTAAGGAAACGTTAGTATTGGTGGGAGATTATTATCTACTGTCAGTGTAAATTAGAGGTAGGGAAATTGGTTAGATCAGATATGCAGACAGTCATATGAGGGAAAGATATACATGTAACAAACATCTTAGTACTCTTAAGCCATCTTTAGGCAAAAATTACTTCTAGGGACTGGGTGTATGAGTCAGATTTACCGATTATAGTGTTCCTTGTTGAGTATGTTGCTGAGTTATGGTTTAATAAATGGTGAAGTAAAACCCAGACTTTTCCGTTATAGAAGTAAGCGAGGGGACTGGCACACCATTCTCATTTGTTTTCATCATGTAGCTCTGGCTGTCATTGTGCTCCTTGAGAAGTAACTGTCCCTTTTGTCCACTGCTTGCTCTTGCAGAGCTGCGTGTTTATGGGAAATGAGTCTGAAATGAGACTTCAGACACACGAGACCTCTTGTTCCTCAGTGTGAAACTAGTACACGAGTTCTCACAAATCCAGCTCACGTTGTATGCTTTCCTCCCTGCCACAGTTAACTCTTCACACCAACTGTATTTACTGATTTACTTTATTTCAGGTTTTCTCTTTTTACATACACTTTTTATCCAGAGGGGGAGGCATGAGACTACTTGGACTGTACTTCGACGATTTGGTTATGATGATGATCTGGATCTGACGCCTGAGTATTTATTCCCCCTGTATGTACCTCAGCTTTCTAATTTATTTCACTTGTCAAGTATCTTTAAGTTTTGTTTAATTTATGCATAGTTTTTAAGTGCCTTGTGATTAATTAGGATTATAGGCATTTTCTCAACTTTAGTACTCTGAACATTTTGGACCAGAGAGTTTTTTGAGTCTCTCTAATATGTAGCTCTGGCTGTCCGGGAACTCACTCTGTAGACCAGGTTAGCCTAGAACTCAGAAATTCCCCTGACTCGGCCTCTGTCTCCCAAGTGCTGAGATTAAAGGCATGTGCCACCACGCCCGCCAGAAAATCCTTGATTGTGGATATTGCCCTGTCCTCTCCCCTCTAGGATGGTGAGCAGAACCGTAAATGACAGTAGCATCTCTTCTTCCAGTTGTGACGAGCAAAATGTCCTCTCATAAGCAAAATCGTCCATAGTTGAGAGCCAGTACTTAATATAGCATGACATAATAAGCACTTTTCTTTTTGGTTTTTTGAGACATGGTTTCTCTGTGTAACAGCTCTGGCTGTTTTGTAGACCAGCTCGCTTTGTAGAGCAGACTGGCCTTGAACTCACGGAGATCCACCTGCCTCTGCCTCCCAAATGCTGGAGTTAAAGGTGTGCACCACCACCACCTGGCTACTTTTCTTTATCTATTTATTCACTTATTTGAATTTTTGTTGTTGTTATTTTAAGATGGGTTCTCACTGTGTAGACCAGGCTGGCCTTTAACTCATAGAGATCTGCCTCCCTTTGCTTTTTAAGTGTTGGGATTACAGAGTTGTGCCACCATATTCAACCTTACAAATCTTTAAAAAAAATTTTTATTGAGAACAGAGGGAAAAAAGATACTGGGTAATCATAGTTTTAGAGTCAAAAGATGAGAAAAATCGAACCTTTTCCCCCTCCTTTATTATTTCTTCTTCATTTCTATAGTTTGTTTTTAGTTCACATTAAGTATTTTTTCCTAAACAACTGATGTATGTGTAGTTATTTTCCTTTGATAATGCTGTTTGAATCTTATGTATTTAAATGTGGGTTCAGTGATGCCCTCCCAGAAGAGACTGCCTGGTTTTGGGTGCCTCTTCTCTCTTTTTGGGAATTATGGTCTGTCATAATCGGGTTTTGACATCTTCTGGCCTCTCTTTCCTACCTTTTAGTCATATATTACTTTCAAGGTAACATTTCTCTGTTTAAGAATTGCACCTCCAGCCAGGCGGTGGTGGCACACACCTCTAACCCAGCACTTGGGAGGCAGAGTCAGGAGGATCTCTGTGAGTTTGAGGCCAGCCTGGTCTACAGAGTGAGTTCCAGGACAGCCAGGGCTGTTACACAGAGAAACCCTGTCTCAAAAAAACAAAAACAAAAACACACCAAAAAAAAGGGTAATAATTGGGGGCTAGAGTGAAGGCTTTTCAGGTAAGAGCACTGGCTGCTCTTCCAGAGTGTCCTGGTTTGAGTCCCAGCACCCACATGGTGGCTCACAACCATCTGCTCTAATTCCAGTTCCAGGGGCTCTGATGCCTCTTTTTACCTCTATGGGCACCAGACATACACATGGTGCAGACACATGAAGGCAAACTATCCATTCAAATAAAAAAATTGTTGGTTGTGGTAACATAAACACCTATAACCCCAGGGCTAGGGTCGATGAGGTGGAGGGAAGAGTGTCACAGGGCTTGCTGGCTGCCAGAGTTGCTCCAGGTTCAGTCAGAAACCATGTCTCAAAAGAATGAAATTCACTCTGTAGACCAGGCTGGCCTTGAACTCACAGGATCCATCTGCCTCTGCCTCCCAAGTTCTGGGATTAAAGATGTGTGCCACCACTGCCTGGCTTATTACTCTCTTAAGAAGTGGCTTTTCAGGGCTGGAGAGACGGCTCAGGGATTAAGAACTGGTGCTGCTCCTTCAGAGAACCTGAGTTCAGTTCCCAGCAGTTACATTAGGTGGCTCATAACTACCTGTAACTCCTACTCCATGGAATCGTAACATTCACTTCTGGCCTCTACAGGTTCCTACATTCATGTGCACATACCCACATACAGACACACACCTTGTCCTGTAAAGGCCCTTTGTGGTTCACTTCCCACTTGAACATGATTCCTTAGAATTAAGAGCTATAAGTATAACAAAGCCAAAAAAAAAACTAATAGTGCAGAAGAGGGGAACTCTGATGCAGTGTTAATGGCAGCACAAATGAGTACATCATTGTGGAAATAACAAGGAGGTTCCTCAGAAACCTAAGAGTAAAGTTTTATATGACCCAGCGTTCCCACCACTGATGTCATATGTAACGGAAATGGAATCATCATTTCCTTGTTTACTGCAACACTGATCATAAAGAGCCACAACACAGTAACTTGTGGGTGAATAAACAGTCCTTTTTTCCCCCCCTAAAGATTTATTTATTTATTATGTATACAGTGTTCTGTCTGCACGTATCCCTGCAGAAGAGGGCACCAGATCTCATTACAGATGGTTGTGATCCACCATGTGGTTGCTGGGAATTGAACTCGGGACCTTTGGAAGGTCAAGCAGTGTTCTTAACCTCTGAGCCGTCTCTCCAGCCCTGAATAAACAGTTCTTTAAAAGTATGGCTGGGTAGCTCAGCAAATACAGGTGCTTCTCATGAAAGCCTGCTTAGTGAGTTCAAACCTCAGAAGCCACATAAAGTTGAAAGGATAGAACTGATTTCACAAAATTTCCTTCTGATCTCCACCACCCACACTCAACATACACAGAAATAATAAATAATTAAAGTGCTATATGAATATAATTCCTTAATGGAATGTTTATTTAGACATAAAAAAGGATGAAAAATTATTTATTTACTTATTTATTGGTTTTTCAGGACTGGGTTTCTCTGTGTAGCCCTGGCTGTCCTGAAATTCACTCTGTAGATCAAGCTGGCCTTGAACTCACTGAGATCCACCTGCCTCTTAGAAAAAGAGTGCTGGGTTTAAAGGCGTGTACCACCACCACCACCACCACCACCACCACCACCACCACCACCACCACCACCACCACCACCACCACCACCACCTGGCTGTTGTTCTCTCTAACCCCAAAAGGATGGATGGCATCTTGTTATCTGTGGCACGGGGAATAGAACTCGGGGGTACTAAGTTCAGTGAAATAGGCAGACACGGATGACAGATGTATGTCCTTACTCATTTGTAGTTGCTTAATTATTTGATCATGAAGTAAGAGGAGAAGAAAATGAATGAACGGAAGTTACTAATGAGCATCAACATGTAGTGCTATGAGAAAGAAATTCCGATGTCTATATAGCATGGTAGTTAACTATAGTTTGTAATAATTATACATTCCAAAATCACTGGAGAGAAGATGTCTAAAGGGGCTAACACTGTAGACAAGATAGTGTGTGAGAAGATAGAAGTGTTAATTACTATGGTTTTATCATTATATATTCTATACAGGTAAGATTTTTTAATTTTTTTCCTCACTATGTAGCCCTTACTGGCCTAGAACTCACTATGTAGACCAGGCTAGCCTTGAATTCAACCGATCTTTCTACCTGTCGTCTTCCTCAGTGCTGGTCTTAAAGGTGTGCACCTTTACACTTAGCATCAGATATGAATTCATAATACTGTATTCTATAAATAAACACAAATGTTCCATGGCAATTTTCTTAGTCAGGGTTTCTATTTGCTGTGATGAAACCCCGTGTCCAAAGCAACAATTCATCTTCAATGGAAGTCAGGACGTGAACTCAAGAATGGCAGGATCCTGGAGGCAGGAACTGATGCAGAGGCCATGGAGGAGTGCTGCTTGCTGGCTTGTTCCCCATGGCTTGCTCAGCCTGCTTTCTTACAGAACTCAGGACCACCAGCCCAGGAGTGGCCCTACCCACGATGGACTGGGCCTTCCCCCATCAATCCCTAATTGAGAAAATTCCCTACAGTCTTGCCTACAACTGATCTTATGGAAGCATTTTCTCAATTGAGGCTCCCTCATCTCCAATAACTATTGTGTCAAGTTGTCGTAAACGATCCAGCACACCTGAAAATAAAAATTAGTTAGGCTTGGTGGTACACTCCTTTCATCTCAGCACTTGGGAGTCCGAGACAGTGTTCAGAATGAAAGGAAAGTATCAGCTTAGCACTCCCACCACCAAGTTCTCAACACCAAGATTTATTTTCCCCCTCGGGAAAAAAGACAGAGATAAGAGACAAAGACAGGAGATGGAGGAAGAGGGGGAAGGGGAAGAGAAGGGAAAAGGGGCTGGGGTATTTGTTCCAGAGGACAAAGGACTGCCTCTGGATAGAGGGGGCAGACATGGCACATAGGAAAACGGCGGTTTATAAAGGTACAGGGGAAAACCCATGTTAGGATGGAGTATCTAATTTTAATTGGGCATGCTAATGAGGTGAGCCGAAGGGGGCTTCAGATTGCTGGACTTCAATACTTTGATAGCTGGACCTTGGTAGTCGGCCTCAGGAGGAGGAAGTAGAGGATAGAAGGACCTTGGTGGCTAGCTTTAGCAATGTAATCTAGTGGTTTTTAGCAAGGCAGAGGGAATGGGGGAGAAGGGTAAGGCCTGCCAGAGCCACATGCTGGAGTGAGCTAGTGTCCCTTCACAGAGCCCACAGTCATTTTGATCTGTGTAGTTCCAGGCCAGCCTTGTCTTAATTTTGACATCCTGTCTCAAAAACAAATGAACAAATTTAAAAGTCCAAAGCATTTAATAAACAAAAATAATTTTTAAAAATTCTAAAGTAGGAAGGATGTTTTGTTTTTGTCTTTATAGCACCTAACTCATTGATTGCATTTGACATTTGTTAAATACTATCTGTTATTATTTCAACTCGTTAAAATGTTGCCATTAATATTAAGCCCATAGTTGTGATTTAAACCATTGAATATAATTTTTTTTCTTTGTTTTGGTTTGGTTTTTTGAGACAGGGTTTCTCTGTGTAGCCTTGGCTGTCATGGAATTCACTCTGTAGATCAGGCTTGCCTTGAACTCAGAGATCCAACTGCCTCTGCCTCCTGAGTACTGGGATTAAAGGAATGGATCACCACTGCCTCCATGAGAATTTATATATTTTTTAAAGATTTATTTATTCATGTATTTTATGTATATGAGTGCTTTGTTTTCATCCATACCAGAAGAGGGAATCAGATCCCGTTACAGATGGTTGTGAGCCACTATGTGGTCCTGGGAATTGAACTCAGAACCTCTGAAAGAGCAATCAAATGCTTTTAACTGCTTAGCCACCTCTCCATCCCTGAGCATACTTTCATAAATATATAATCTACATGCCTGGCAATGATGGCACATGCCTTTAATCCCAGCACTCGGGAGGCAGAGGCAGGTGGATCTCTGAGTTCAAGGCCAGCCTGGTCTACAAAGCGAGTTCCAGGACAGCCAGGGCTGTTACACAGAGAAACTCTGTCTTAGAAAAATAAAAAAATTACGTGTGTGTGTGTGTGTGTGTGTGTGTGTGTGTGTGTGTGTGTGTGTAAAATCTGCTAAAAAATGAAAAATTCATGAAGACTTAGAACTAGTAAACCTTTATGTTCGTTACCTACACTCAGTCCTTCCTCATCTAATACTGGCCATTTCTTGTTCTTCTTTCTGCATATTATATTGTACCCACCTGTACATTTGCCTATATATAATAGGGTAAGAATTCAATAATGAAAGTATAAAATCTGCCAGTCGTAGTGACACACGCCTTTAATTCCAGTGTTTGGGAGGCAGAGGCAGGTGGATCTCTGTGAGTTCAAGGCCAGCCTGGTCTATAAGAGCTAGTTCCAGGACAGCCAGGGCTACACAAAGGAAACAAACAACAACAAAACAATTTTTTATCTGTGTGCTGGGTATGAGCTGAGGTTCTCGTGTTTTTATGACAAGCATTTACTGACTGAGATAGCTCCCCAGCCCTACCTTTAATAGTCATTTATTTGTGTGTGTGTGTCATATGTGTGCATTTGGCTTATATGTGTGTATATGTTTATGTATGATGGCAGGTGTGTGTCATGCTACATGTTTGGAGATCAGGGAACAACTTTAGGTGTTGGTGTTTGCCATCTACTTTTTTTTAATTAAAATATATTTTTTGGTTTTTTAGTACATTTATTTATTTAGTTGGTTGGTTGGTTAGTTAGTTAGGGTGAGCAGGGGATTACAGATCTTTTGGCCCCTGTTTTGTTGTTGTTGTTGTTTTCTTTTTTGTTGTTTTTTTTTTTTTCTCCTCGAGACAGGGTTTGTCTGTGTAGCTTTGGAGCCTGTCCTGGATCTCACTCTGTAGACCAGGCTGGCCTCGAACTCACGGAGATCTGCCTGCCTCTGCCTCCAGAGTGCTGGGATTAAAGGTGTGCACCACCACTGCCTGGCTGTTGTTTTCAGAATAGGATTTCTCTGTAGCTCTGACTATCTTGAACTCACTCTGTAGACGAGGCTGGCCTCAAACTTAGAGGTTCACCTGCCTCTGCCCCCTGAGTGCTGGGACCAAAGACGATCACTACCTGGTTGGCCCCCGTTTTTTTAAAAATGGATATCATGGATTCAGATTTCGGTTGTCAGGCCTGCTCAGCAAGTATTTTTAGCTTCTAAGTCACCTCCTGGCTCCTTTTAAAATTTTCTTTTGTTGGGCCTGGAGAGATGGCTCAGCGGTTAAGAGCACTGACTGCTCTTCCAGAGGCCTAGGGTTCAATTCCCGGCACCCACATGGCAGCTCTCAACTGTCTGTTTGTAACTCCAGGATCTGACACCCTCACATAGTCATACATGCAGACAAAACACCAATATACATAAGAATAAATAAGTTATTTTAAAAATTTTTTTCTTTTGTTTTTTGAGACTGGGTCTGATGTTGTACAGGCTGGCTGAAGATTCCCTTGAATGCTTGATCTTCCTGCCTCCACCTCTTGAGTGCTTGGATTATAGACATATGCTATTACCCCCAGTTTATGTTGTTCTGGGAATCAAGCTGAGGGCTTTATGCATAGACAAGCATCTACCACTTGAGCCACATTCCATCCTATAATCAGAATTTGTAAAGTTGTTATTTCAATCTGCCCTAATAATATTTAGGAAAAATATGTATATGTCTCTTTGGAATGAACATTATTAATAATTCTTCTGAGGAATGCCATAACGACCCCAGAGACTTTTCCCTGAGAATTTCTATATGACTTTGGAGATTTCTTTGTTCATGCTATTATCCCACAAAAATACTAATTTCAATCTTTTTATTTATTTCTCAGGTTAAATTTTAATATTTGAGTAATGATTTACTCTTAAATTTTTTTCATCAACAGGCTAAAAATACCTCCTGATTGTACTACTGAATTAAATCATCATGCATATTTGTTTCTCCAAAGCACCTTTGACAAACATGATTTGGTAAGCCTTTGCCTGCAGTTTTCTAAAGTACATAGTCAAATATTTTTGTATGGGTGATTTTCCTTTATTCTTTGAGCTGCCCAGTGTTTATGATATGTCATCCATACTTTAAGCTTTTAAATTCAGTGATTTTATTTTATTTTATTTTTTTAGAATGAAAAAGTCTATTTTTCCAGTAGACTGTTTCATAATGTGAGGAAATGTCTTTTTTGTTTGATTATTTGTTTTTGTTTTTGTTTTTCAAGACAGGGTTTCTCTGTATAACAGCCTTGACTCTCCTGGAACTCACTCTGTAGACCAAGCTGGCCTTGAACTCACAAAGATCAGCCTGCCTCTGCCTCTTGAGTGCTGGGATTAAAAGTGTATGCCACCACTGCCCAGCTCAAGGAACTGTCTTGATAAAATATATAAAAGTTCTCATTTTAGGTCAGATGGTAGTAGAACACACTTTTAATCCCAGCACTGTCTCGAAAAACAAACAAAAACACAAAAAAGTTCTTATTTTATTTTGAGACAATTTTTCTGTGCATCCCTGGCTGTTCTGGAACTCACTCTGTAGACCAGGCTGGCCTTGAACTCACAAAGATCCGCTTGCCTCTGCCTCCCAAGTGTTAGGATCAAAGGTATGTCGCACCATGCCTGGCAAGTGTTCTCAAAGCATAGCTTTACTAGACTAGGTAGCTTGTTTGGAGATTTTTCTCTCGGGATCTGAATGTTATGTTATTTCCTTATGTGTCTTCAGGACAGAGACTGTGCTTTGTCACCTGATGAACTTAAAGATTTATTCAAAGTTTTTCCTTACATACCTTGGGGACCAGATGTAAATAACACAGTCTGCACAAATGAAAGAGGCTGGATAACCTACCAGGGATTCCTCTCCCAGTGGACGTGAGTATCGAGCGCACCCCTTTGCTCTAGAGTCACGATTCCTTTTCCATTATGGTGGTGTTGACTTGTCATTTTGTGTGTCTGTTAAGTTTGAGAAATCCTTCCTTCCTAGTTTCCTCTAAACAGCATGTCTCGTGAGATGAACCGTGGAGGTTTCGTAAGGTTTTCAAGAAGGGGCTGTTTTCTTCTCATGATGTTGTAGGAAATATTAGCGTTATATTGAAATGAAACTAAATTTTGTACTTTTTGTTTGATAAGAAAATTGGAGCTGCTGTTACTATTTCAGCAAGTGGGGAGAAGCACTGGAGTTGGCATTCTGTGTTTTAAATGATTTTTAATTAATTCTCTATAAAAGTTAATGAGGATATGTCTAAAATCTACTCAGAGCATGGTTGGCATTGTGCCAAGACCATTAGGGAATTCTCTGTTCTTACAAGATGTCATCATTACTTTAGCATTGCTGAGAAAAGCTTCTTTTTCTTTCTATAGAGGAGGTAGATGTGTTGAGGAAAACCAGGCTCCGCCTCAAGGAAGGGCACCTGCGGCAGACTTTTCAACATCCTCTCTCTCTTTCCCTCTTCTCTGTACCACCACTCTCCCCTCTCTTTGTCTCCCTCCCTCCCTCCCTCCCTCCCTCCGCCTCTCCCCCTCTCCCTCCTTCCTCCCACTGCCTCCCTTTTGTACTTTTTTTCTTAGTTGGGAGCCTAGCCTTTAACAGCTGAGCCATCTCTCCAGCCCTATCTCCTTTTCCAAGTCCAGGTCTTACCTATCCGAAGCTGGCCTGGAACTTACTATGTAGCTGAGATTGACCCTGAACTCAATCCTCCTGCCTTTACCTCATAAATAACTGGGATTTCATGCTCGTTTTATGTGCTGCTAGGGATCAAACTAAGGATTCTACCAACTGAGCTACATCCCAAACTTCCATCCCCCAAGTACATAAGAAGGACCAATTTCGGGTACTCTCAGGAGGTATTTTTTACTTTTCTGTCAAACCTTTTCATATCTGCTTAGTTTTTGTCTGGTCAGTGTGTGCAGGACATGATGTTAGCCTGGGAAGCAGATATATTATCTGTCTGTCTATCTGCAATAGGTTATACCAGCCTCTGTCTGTGCAGCAGCTCATTGCACAGGCTTGCTTTCTCTGGCAGGTGGAATTCACCCTTATCCTGTATTTCCCTACAGTTTTCCTACAGGAATGGCAGTGTAGGAAAAGTTATGGTTGGAGAGGCTAGGGACATAGCTCAGCTGGTAAAGTGCCTAGAAGGGCCTGAGTTTTATTTTCAGAACCCATATAAAACAGTACAGATAGGGCATGTCCTTTTCTTCCATGCAGGGAAGGTGGAGGCAGGCAGACTGTTTCCTGAACCTCACTGGCCTTCCGCTTAGTTTTCTTGTGGAGTTCCAGACTAGTGAAAGACTGTTTCAAAAAATAAGGTGGACAGCTCCCGAGGAACAGTACCAAAGACTGTCCTCTGGCCTGCACACATGCACTTTTACACTAATGTACATGCATACACATGCTCACAGAGTCACAGTCGGGCACATAAGACAGTAGAGCAGCCTGACAAGTGTTACCTGAAACCTAACAGTGGGTAATTTTTTTCCAGTTATTGGAATTTTTTTTATGAATGTTCATTTAGGACATAAGCCTTGTAAACTTCCTGGTTTTAGGCTCACAACCTACTTAGATGTACAGCGTTGCCTGGAGTATTTGGGCTATCTAGGCTATTCCATACTGACGGAACAAGAGTCTCAAGCTTCAGCCATTACAGGTAAGCATATATGGATGCCATTCAGCTCATGACTATGATTTTTTTTTTAACTCCAGTTTAGGGGAAGGGAGTGTCACTCAGTTGGTAGAGTGCTTGCGTAGTGTGCATGAGGGTCTTATCCCTAGACCTGCATAAACTGGGAATGGTGGTGCATCCCTGTAATACCAGCACAAGTTCAAGGTCATTGTCAGCTACAAATCCAGTTTGAGGCTACTTATGCTATATGAAACCCCTCTCTCAATACAAAAACAGGGACCTGGGCAGATGGCTCAGTGGTAAACAGCTCTGACTTCAATTCCCAGCACCTACATGGCAGCTCACAACTGTCTGTAATTCTAATTCCAGGGGACCCAACACCCTCACACAGACATACATGCAGGCAAAACACCAATGCACATAAAACAAAAATCAATTAAACAAAAAGACATGACAGACTGGTTGGAAAGGAGAAGGGTTAACAGGAGTGGGAAGAAGTGAGAGGGTGATAGGAGGGTGAATATCATCATGGTGCACTATATACATGTGTGGAAATAAAACCCATTGCTATAATAATTAATATATACTAATATAAATGTTTAAAAGGGATTCAGAAATATGAACAAAGTTATCAGGAGGCCGGAAAAGAAAAAACAAATTCAAATATTACAAAGAATGGAGATAAGCTCATCTTATTCTCTGTCTGTATTTGTTTTGCTCATAATTTGGCAATTTCTTTTATTATTTATCAAAGGGGATAGAGTACTTTTGCTTCTTTCTATTCAGTAGTGCTCCAGTGATAAAAATGAGGGCGAGGTCATCCTCAGCAAGTAGAGAGCTGGAGGCCAGTCTAGGTGACAAGGAATCCTGCCTCAAACTCTCTCCACCCTACCCTACCCCCAAAGAAAGGAATATGGTGCTTTATTGTACTGATTGTAGGGCTTGGGTTTGTTTTCTTTTGTTGTTTTTTTCGAGACTAGGTTTCTCTGTGTAGCTCTGGCTGTCCTGGAACTCACTCTGTAGACCAGGCTGGCCTCAAACTCAGAGATCTGGTGGGATTAAAGGCTTGCACCACCACCACCACGCAGCATTGTTTGTTTGTAAATCAGACATTTCTAAAAGGTGCACCAATACCTAATTTTATAGATGGTTGAGTAGAGGCTTAGTGAGTCTTAGTGGTACAGTTTGTGTGTTTTGTTTTTCTTTTTAGTAACAAGAGATAAAAAGATTGACCTGCAGAAAAAACAGACTCAGAGAAATGTGTTCAGATGTAATGTAATTGGAGTGAAAGGCTGTGGGAAAAGCGGAGTTCTTCAGGCTCTCCTTGGAAGAAACCTAATGGTGAGGATTGTCAGATTATAATTTCTTCTAACAAATGTTTATAATAATAAGTTTACAAAAGTTTTTATGGGCATTATTCTTTTTAGGTCATTATTAGAAGTCATGGTCTACTTATATTAGTGCTGTACAATCTAAACTGTAACAGTAGGTACACTGAGGACTTAGAGTCTTAGGCTAGCCTTGAATACATAGCTAGTTCCAGGCCATTTTGAGCTACTTAGTGAGAGTCTGTTTTAACAAACAAAGCAACAGTAATCCTGTTGAAGATCGATCTTGCTTCACTGGTGTTAGCTGTCTTAGAAAATCAGAGATTCAATGACTGCACACATGAAAGCGCCTAACAGAGAGTGGCATGAAGTTCATGTATCTAAGGAGTGATGATACTTAGTCCTGACTATTCCCTTGACTAAGAATACTGTTTACTTGCCGGGTGGTGGTGGCACACGCCTTTAATCCCAGCACTCGGGAGGCAGAGCCAGGCGGATCTCTGTGAGTTCAAGGCCAGCCTGGTCTCCAAAGCGAGTTCCAGGAAAAGCGCAAAGATACACAGAGAAACCCTGTCTCGAAAAAACCAAAAAAAAAAAAAAAAAAAAAAAAGAATACTGTTTACTTAGGGTTCTCATGTGAGACCAGAGTGTACTATGAGAATTGCCAGCAGATGGCTCCAGAATCTATGCTCACTAATCCTGTTTACTTCCTCTTCAGCTACTGCTTTTACTTTATGCAAAATAAATGCACCTTTTGTCTGAGACCCTTAGAACTAAGAAATATAAAACCAATATCCCATTTTTACTGATAAATAGCATACAGAGAGGGATGAATGTCTTTTTGTTTTTAATATACCCACACATGGACAAAGGTATGTACTGATGAAATTACTTTAATATTTTATTATTAACTGAGATTTTTGGTTCTGTTTTTAGAGACAGAAGAAAATTCGTGATGATCATAAGTCCTATTATGCAATTAACACTGTCTATGTATATGGACAAGAGAAATATTTGTTGGTAAGATCTTCTGGGATACAAAGACTTGAAGTATTGGGTACATGTTTAAATGGGTCTGAAATAAATTAACTTTCATTTAATGGCTGTATGTAGAATGTGTGTGATACTTTTCATTTTGGTTTACTCATTGGAATGTTAATTCCATTGATTCTGTGTGATGATTACATGGGTATAGATAAAGGTAAAACTATTTAGCACTTAATTGTATGTTAGCGACCCCATAATAAGAAACTCAGTCAGGAGGCAGGAGAGATGGCTCAACAATTAAAGAGCACTGGCTGCTCTTCCAGAGGACCCGGGTTCACTTCCCAGCACCCTCATGGCAGCTAACAACTGTCTGTAACTCCAGGATCCAACACCCTCACACAGGCATACATATAGGCAAAATAGCAATAAAAATATATAAATTTTTAAAAAAAGAAACTCAGAAGTAAAACAAAACAAAATCTTCCCTTTTTATTCTGCCATTTTGATTTTAGAAATGTACTGCTAGGGAGATGGCTCAGCAGTTTAGACCATGTACTCCTCTTGCAGAGGATCCAAGTTTGATTCCCAGCACCTACATCTAGAAGTTCATGACCACCTGTAACTCCAGCTCTAGGGAATCCAGTGCCCACTTCTAGTCTCTACAGGCACCCTCATGCACATGTACAAACATTCACACCCACTTCACCCCCCACATACACACAAATACATAAATCTTGTTTGTTTCTTTTTGTTTTGTTTGGGTTTTTTTGATATGGAGTCTCATTTTGTATCCTTGGCTGCCCTGGAACTGGTTATGTAGACCAGGCTGGCCTCAAGCTCACAGAGATCCACTTGCCTCTGCCTCCTGAGTGCTTTTTTTTTTTTTTTTTAAATAAAATTATTGTTGGTGAGATGGCATCAGTGCTTGCCACAAAACCTAATGGCCTAAATTTGATCCCTGGAATCTACATAGAGATGGGAGGAGAAAACCAACCTCACAGAGTTATTCTCAGACATGTTCACACATGCAACGTGTGTGTGCCTTCCATGCTAATAAATAAAAAACTAAGTGCTTCAACATATTAATTTTAAATTCTAATGTTATTGGCTAGAAATTAGTATGAAATCAATGCTGGTACTTGGTGGTTTATATATAATTGAATCAAGTTTATGTGTTTATCAGGGAGGAGTATAGAAAATTATATAAAAAGAGGAAAAAACAGTGGTGAAATACAGTAGAAAGGTTATGTGCTTTCTTTGGGTGCTGTGGTTTCAGTTTCAGACTTGGTTCACAATAGACTGTGACGAAACAGATTTCTAACCCAGTTAGATTCCTATGGGGAGCTTCTAGCAAATATTAGAAAACATCCATAGTGGTGGCCATGCCTTTAATCCCAGCACGCAGGAGGCAGGGGCAGATGGACCTCTGAATTCGAAGCCAGCCTGGTCTACAGAGTGAGTTCCAGTAAGTCAGGACTACACAGAAACCCTGTCTGGAAAAACCAAAAAGAAAAATATATATATATATATATATCCATGCTTTGTTTTTGGAAATAGTTTCTCAGATAATCACATCGAACAAATGCTATAAATTTTATGATGTTATAATGTTTTACTCTTTCTGATAAGGGTTTTGTGAGCTTCTTATTAAATCTTGTTTGTCTCATATAGTGTTAAATATTAGTACTCAGGAGGCATTACTGACTATTAATATTCTTAAGTTGTTCTTTGTAAATAATTTTCCATGTTTTGGGCTATGCATGCTTTCATAATGTTTTATTTGAAATTTGCCAAGTCATTTTTATATCAATATTATGATTCTTAGTTTCCTGTTATCTTTTTCTTTTCACAAGCTGCACGATATCTCCGAGTCGGAATTTCTAACTGAGACTGAGGTCATTTGTGATGTTGTATGCCTGGTGTATGATGTCACTAATCCCAGATCCTTTGAATACTGTGCCAGGATTTTTAAGGTTTGTTCTTATGCCCATGATTAATTGTAACTTTATATATGGTTGTAAGGATCTGCGGTGTGGTGTTTCCTAGTCAGGAGAGTACAACAAAATAGACTGCAGAGGGCTTTGTTGGTGTTGGTTGGTTGGTTTTTTAAATATATACATCTATGTGCCCTATTCCTGGAAAGTCTTCATTTCATTGTACACTAATAAAGTCCCAGTCATAGGTAGTAACATGTTTTTATCTATGTGTGACTTTGATGTGTATTCTTGATTGAGAACTTTTGCATTAATGGAAGTTCTTCTTGGCTATTAGGAATGCAAGTGTATATTGCCAGTTACCCAAAGAATAACAGCCAGAGCAAGAGAATAAACCACAGGTTTGCAAACGTATCGTTCACTTTGAGAATATCAACAAGAGTCCACAGGAGAAGAAAGCTATATGTGCAAAAGTATCCTAGTATTGTTTTTAATATCAAAAACTTTGGGAAAATCCAGATATCTAACAGTTGAAGAATGGTTTTCCACAAAAGATAAATATCTTGTGAAATATTATGCAAACACTAAAAACAATAGTCTTCATTCTACAGTGCAGAAATGATACAACCTTATATTTTTAAATGCTGTGTGTAACATAACTGCAGCTGTATAAATATAAATGTATGTGGTAAAAGTCTAGAGACAATGTAAAGAAAATGATACTTTTCAGTATAGAAAATAGGTATGTATTTGAACATGTTAAACATGACAATGACTCTTGAGAATTAGGGTAGGTCTGTTTTGTTACCTACCCAGAAAAGTGGTCCTGGATCATGCATAACAACAGGAGACTGACCTTGTGCTACCAAACTTGCTTCTCACTTCATTTCCTCCCTTTGGAATTATCATTGCCTTGCCAGTCTGGGGAAGTGTTTTCATTTATGTTTGGTTAAATAGTAATTTTTGAACTTGCCATCAATATTTGATTTTATTTTTTTTATTCCATAGCAACATTTTATGGACAGCAGAATTCCCTGCTTAATTGTAGCTGCAAAGTCAGATCTGCATGAAGTTAAACAAGAACATAGTATCTCACCCACTGATTTCTGCAGGAAACACAAAATGCCTCCACCTCAAGCCTTCACTTGCAACACTGCTGATGCACCCAGTAAGGATATCTTTGTTAAATTGACAACAATGGCCATGTACCCGTAAGTACTTGCTCTGTCTTCATTTTTATGTTGCATGGTTCACAGTAACATTGCATGCCATTAGCCATGGGGGATCTTTGTCACATAGCAATTGTTCAGCAACAGAAAGAAACTTTGTAATGAGAAGGAACAAATTTGAGCAACTGCGAGTTTGGTTTGAGTGTCATAAATGATATAAACAGTGCTTCTAGAGTACTTGTATGTTTTTTGAGCAGACTGTAGCTGTCCTAACAGGATAGTATAATAAAGCACAGCTACCACCCAGCATTGAACAGTAATCCTGCCATGATAAAATGGAGTTGACGTCTTGTTGCTTTATGCTTATAAGGCATTTCCACATGAACACAATTTCATTTTTAAATTTTTCTGTTGATTAATTGACCTTTGGTGTGTGAAGAATTCTAAAGTCTTTTGAGAATTTACATTGAACTTACATTTTATGTTTGAAATCAGGATTTGTCTTTTTTAAAGTTCTGTAAAAAGTTATAAATGGAATGTCCACTATATAAATATTTTGCATTATTATAACCACACATTTTATGTACATTTATTATATCTATACATGCATATGTACAAGCATATAACTATGGTTATCTTCATAGTTCACTAACTGCCTTAAAATTGCATGATCTTAATGACATCCTACTCAAGTAGTGTATTTGTATAAATTCTGTTTTGTAACAAAACAGCTTTTCAGGCAGTGCGTTTCTCAGGACTTTAGAGCATATTCTGTTTATTATTCTTTTAGCCTTGAAGTCATTTTTTTTTTCATGAAAACTAGAATAAAGTATAATCAATACAATACTCAAATATAGCAGTAATAATTAAACATTATTGTAAACAAAGACTGAAGCTTCCAAAAGGTCTTAATATAAGATTTTAAAAACCTTATTTCTGTTTTACCTTTGCTTTAAAACTCTCATGTATGTTATCTACAGAGAGGATCATTACAGAGGCAGCCTCTCCCGAGACATGGGCAGCACTGATAGAATAGAGAATTTGAGAAAAATCTGGGTCTTTCTAAAAACTGCTTTGTAAGTTACTTTTTCTTTATGATTCTGTGGGATTTTGTTTACATTTTCTTATAGGGTGGCCAGATCTCCTTCCTTGCTGTTAGTATTTAGAACTATCTAGAAACGCACTGCTTGGTCAGACTCACTGCCTAGCTGTAACGTAGAGTGCCGTCTCTGTTACATCAGTTACCTCTTCAGCCACACAGGAAACTGCAAGTGGGACTAGAGCTGTGCTCTACAGCAGTTGATGCTAACTCGTGTGTGTGTGTATATATGATAAATGTACATACATAGACACTTCTTACGTAATTGATACCAAACTACTTCTCATGAAGCATCTCCCTGTTGCTCAGCATACTTTGCATCTCTCCTTTTTGGTGGGTGGAGCCTTGTGGATGTGGAAGTCAGATTCAGTTTATAAAATCACAGATGGATTCCAGTATGACAGCTGGCAGTGTCTTGGTAGCAGTGATGTAATTCCTCATCACAAGCCAGGTTTTAAAAAGAAATATCTTAAACATTGATTCTCAAAATTCTTTTTTTTCTTCATATTGGGAATTAGGCACTGTTGAGATGCTGCTAATGCCCACAGCCACGCCACTGTGCACTGTGATCTCATCAGCTCTCACAAGCTAAGCCAAGGCAGATTAGGCCAGTCCTTTGACTGAGAAGCCTTGAAAAATGATCACATGTCACAGGAAGTGATGACATTAATTCATCAGATGGTGCTCTTCCCAGTCAGTACCTCTTGGGTGGTGTGATGGCTTTGTTTGTCTGACCACTGAGCAGTCATTGGAAGTTCCCGCATTGTAGTCAGGGCTTAGGTGAAATGGGTCACCCCATGTGCCTGTGCTAACCAGTGACACTTTACTCAACCAGAAAGGAGTCAGAAAGCCCTTCAATTTCATAACGGATTCAATTGGCTCACTAGATTTTTACATCCTTACCAGAGTCTCATCCATCATACTTATAGCTGCTGTGTTTTGTAGCTGAAATTAACCCTGTATTTCTTGTAGTACAAATTGATGAAGCACTCTGATTTCCTTTGGGAGCCAGGGTGCTTGGTGAATTAAAGACGATGTTGTTCATATCTTCTCAGGGTTGAATCTACTTGTCTGTTGGCTTTGTGTATTGTGACTCTTCTCCTTCCTGGTTTTCAGGCATGTGTGTATGCTGAGGGAGGAGGAAGAGAAGGGAGTGGTTATTCAGTGCTACAAACCTTGTCCTTTCAGTTGGCGCTATGGCTTACTCAAGTTTCATTTTTATTAATTTAGATGAGGGTGCCATCTATTGCTGTGCATATTTATTCCACTAAAACTCATCTAATAATGATTCCATTCCCCTCTCCAACATTTTTTTAAAGTGATAGCTAATATTCCCTAGATTTTCTATAGGGAGGGAGGAAGAACTATTACTGCTTACTATGTTTTCAGCAAATGTGGAATTCTGCACAACTTTAGCATGCCCCACACTGTCCTTTTCCTTTCTACAAAGAGTGTTGCATATGCCTAAGTCTTTCTTTTTTTTTAAGTTGGCACACTCGACTCGTGCCCTATTTATAAGAAAGAACTCAACCCTGTCCTTCTGTGTGTTTTCACAGCCATGCCCGGTTACGCTGTATGTGCACCTGCAACAGGTGTACATTTTGCATCTGTCAGAACTTCCTCAACTCAGACTTGCTGCAATCTGTAAAGAACAAAATCTTCACTGCAGTTCTTAACAGGTTCTTAACTTTATTTACTGGGTACCAGGCATTCTGTTAAAATACAAAAGAAAAAGTGATAACTATTTAATATACAGCTACTCACAAGAAAGGCAACAAGTCAACTGACCCCTACTAACTCCCACTGAAAGTCTCAATGTGGTGACAATGTTTAGTTTGGTAATCATCATTAATAAGGGTTTTTTATTAATAGGTCTATTTTGGGAACTATAAAACAAGGTTTTCAGTCTTTTTCACTAGGAAAATTAGTTGTCTGTTCTGTTTTAGGAGATAATATGTACATAGATCTTTTGGGTGTGAGTTGTAGACTAGGAGGACTTTTATAGTAAAGAAAAGACATGTCAATCCAAAATCAGAAACATTGTACTGTACTTAGTTCATGTTCCTATGATATATTGTATGCATACCATACTAATATGAACCAGATTCTCTCTTCTTGAAACCATTTATAACTCCAGTGTTCCTTTTGGGGGAATGTTTATTTGAAAGAACATGGCTTCTGGAAACAAGAGTAATAATCAACTTTAAAGACTTTAAGGAATATGGAAAAAGAAAAAAGAGCTATAGTGCTGGATTCTGAATCCCCCTCCCCCAGATTTGTTAGCCTTGTTTACTCCAAACAGGCAGATCACTTATTGAAGTCATTTAAAGTAAGCTAAACTATGACATAGACCTATAAAGTAATATATCCTTTTATAAATGAAGCGGGGAAAGGGATTCATTCTCTCAAAGCAATGAACTTTATTTCCATTCTGGTCATGCTACCCTTTTGTAAATCAGTAATTTTTTTTTTAATTTAAAAGCCCTATGTAATGTTAGTTTGTATCTATCTAAGGATGAATTTGGTTTTTGAAGTCATCTAAATATCATTAAGAGCCAGGCTTGATTAAGCAGATGGTCAAGCTAATTACAGATTTGGTTTAAGATGGTCTAGCTAATTGTTCCTTTCTTGAATACTCTAGCCACATCTATATCCTGGCTAGACTCTGGCTGGATCAAATAATCATGGTATATTGTTACCACCAACATAGTAGCTGGGCCTGTGAAATGCTGACTGTTCTCCTGGAGTTGGAAGCTAGTTTTGAAGGCATTCTGTAAGTGTTTCAGTGAAGCTTTGAGCACTAGCAGCTCCAAAATAAGAATGTAGCCCCTGAAGGCTCTGCTTTGAAGGGATTAATTACCTTGCTCTGCCTCTGTCCTTTGAGAGCATCTTGTAATGGAGTAACCAGACTCCACCATGGTGACAGACAAAAATGCAAGGCTAGTTCAAACCAAACAAACCTAGGAGCTCTGGTGTTGGGAATCTTAAGAGTTGGAAGATTCTGGAATGCATCTGACTAATCCCATGAGAATGCTTTCCTGCATGCCTTCCTGAGAGGTAGCTATTTGCTTATGGCTTTCTTTTTCGGAGAAAGACTTTGCTTTTGCTTTGAATTTTTTAGCTAAAATATTTTTCTTGTAGCTTTCTCTCTGTTAGTTAAGTTCTGCCCTTTTGAACACCATACAATCACTCTCCCTCATCAACTAGCAATCCTTCAGATACTCGAGTATGACCATCATGTCTCCCTTGTTTTCTCTTCTCCAGGTAGAACACCCCATTTTCTTTTAGCTTTCACTTAAATTAGGTGCTTTCAGTGACCTCATCATTCCTGATTGTCATCAGCAGGTGCCAACAAGAGTGGCTGACAATGCTCCAGGTGTTGTCTGACTGGCCCAGAACTGAGAGCAGCCATGTTCTGCACATGTTCAGCACCTGACTAGTGTGTGACTAAAGTTTTTATCAGCCCATCCCACTGTTGACATATATTATTAACTTGGGGTTAATTGAAATTGGATCTTTTCTTCACATGAAGTACTATTAAGGCAAATGTCCCTTCCTCTCTAATGGTGTTTTTAGTATTTTAGTTGACATTTTAAATGTAAACGTAGGTACATATATCTCTTTACTAAACGTTTTTAATCCATTTGTTCTAGCTCAGTCATTCAAACATTATTTTTATAATTTGTCCATTATATAACTACCATTTTGTTATTTGTGAATTGCATAGATTAGATGTGTTTTAGTTTTTAAGTTACTGATAAATAATATTGACTACTCAGAGATTGAAAAGAGAGAGAAGTGAACTAGCCATAACGAACTCTGTCAATGATAGATGTAAATAAAATTCAACTAGTGAAAAAAATATTCTTGAGCCATGTGTGGGGGCATACACCTGTAATCTGTTTCTCTTTATCTATGTTTTGCCTTGGAGCTTTTTCCCTTTCTTTCTGTATATCTTACTTTCCTGCTGTCTCCATGGCTGACTGGCTGGCTGGTGGCTGCCTGGCTTCTGGCCTCAGGCATGTCCCTCTCTTTCTCCATCATTCTCCTTCTTCTCTCTCTAAATTCCTCCTGCTTATTCTCTCTGCCTGCTAGCCCCACCTATCCCTCCTCTGCCTAGCTATTGGCCAGTCAGTGTTTTATTAGACCAATCAGGTGCCTTAGGCAGGCAAGGTCAAACAAATGCAACACTTGTTTACATAATTAAACAGATGCAACACAAACAAATGTAACACACCTTCACATCTAATGTGAGAAATCCAGAGTCTATTTAACGAGCAAAGGAATTTATTAGAGGCCAACTCATTACAGCACAGAAGATTTATCATAGGGTCCAGGAAAGCCAAGCTATGTCCCACGCTGATCTTCCTGGTCCAAGATCTACCTGGTCAGTCTCAGCATCCAAACCATGAGGGAGTGAAGAGAGCGCCTTGTATGTGCATCCCAGGTCTTAAGGGTCCCCGAGAGTCTACACCCCAGGGGCATGTACTTCAAGGTCATAGGCAGATGTAACAGTTACTTGCTGCCTCACTAGGGGGCAGTGCTTCAAGGTCATAGCTAGAACAGCTACCCACCACACACATAGTTAAAAGTAATATTCCTCAGCATAAACAAATGTAACACATCTTTGCCTAGTTAAAATAATATTCCACAACAGTGGCATACACCTGCAATCCCAGTACTCAGGAAGCTGAGGCAGGAGGATCTCCAGTTTAAGGCCAGCCTAGTTTACACAGTAAGTTTGAGGCCTGACTAAATTCCATTGTGAGAACCTAGCTCCAAAGAATCAAAATAAAATACTTATTCTTACCTACTATACATTGTATATTGTATTATCTAGTATACATTGCATATTATTACCTATTATAAATAGTATATTACCTAGTATACATTGTGTGTTACCTAGTATACATTGCATATTGCTACCTAGTATACATTTTATGTTGTTACCTAGTATACACATTATTATCTAGTATACATTGTATATTATTACTTAGTATACATTGTATCTTCTTATCTATCAGGAGTTTGAGGGAAGGTTTTTCTGAAATCTCTGTATAATTTTCATCACATTCTCCTGACTTACCAATGGATTGTTTTATCTACTAAATAGGAAGTGACATCTGTTTAATATCTTATTCTTGGTGAACCCACCTTGGCTTACATTAATTACTGATTATAAACCACCTATTCATTATCTATTCTAGAAGCTCTTAATTGCTATCATAGCAGACTGATTCAGTTTCTGTGTCATTGGTGACAATTTTCCCCATAGATTGATTCAGTTTCCAGGTGAGATAGTTTGGAGATGCTTTAAATTGATGTACTTGCTCTACACTGCGATCCTCAAACAAGTAATTTAATAATGGTGTCAGCACTCATCACTGACATCTGGTAATCAAGAACGGAAAGAGGAGGAAAACAATGTATGTTTCAGAGCACTCTGTTCTTATCTCAGTTGCTGCTTTGCCATGTATTGGGTAGAAGTGCAATGAACTTCAGGGGTTCTGTACTAAATTTCTTCAAGTGGTGTAGGAAAGCAGTGTTGGTGGGTTGAAGTCAAAACTCAGTTCCCTAAGGATCTAGAATTCTAGGTGAGTGATGTGAAAGTGTGAGGAGAGATGGTGGCTGAGACAGGTCTGTCTATAACAAGCAGTTACTATTCAGCTGTATCCCTGTGCCATGTAGCTCTGGTGTTGGCTGGCTTTCTGACTCTACAAAAGATTAAGAATCAACATTTTTATGTGACATGCACTTGGTATGGGGGCCTATGTCTCTAATCTCAACACTAGGGAGGCTGAGGCAGAAGAATTACTATGGGATTGAGGCCAACTTGAGTTACAGAATGAGTTCTAAATCAGTCTGGGCTAAAACAAAGTCAGAGGATTATGGCGCATGCCTTTGATCCCAGAACTTGGGAGGCGGAGGCAGAGGCAGGCGGATCTCTGTGAGTTTAAGGCCATCCTGGTCTACAGAGCAAGTTCCAGGACAGCCAGGTGAGGTTTGGTTTTTTTTTTAAGATTTACTTATCTTATTTTTTGTATATGAGACTTTTGCCTGCATGTGTGTATGTACACCACCATGTACATCCTTGATGCCTGAGAAGGCCAGAAGAGGGTGTCATCCTCTAGAACTGCAGTTACAGATGGTTGTAAGCCCCCATGTGGGTGCTGGGACTTGAACTCAGATCCTCTGGAAGAGCAGCCTATGTTTTTACCTGCTGAGCCATTCCTCCAGCTCCTATAGTTAAATTTAAGATTGCTCAAGAACTTGTGTTACAGATCTCAGTCAGCTGCTGATAATTAGGATTTCAGATTATTTTCCATCTGGTTCGTATATTAAAGAACATGACAAGGTAGAGTTTTCCTGGTTTGCTCTTCTTTTTTTTACACATTTGCTGTGTATATAAATCATCTATAAACTTGAGTTCTTACTGCTTGGGGATGCATTTCTTGACACTGGTGCATATCTACACTCTTTTCCAAAGTATGTCACTATTAGGCATGCTCAGTTAACAGCTTGCTGGTGATTTCTGTCCCAGTTCATCTCTACTGGGTGCTTGCTGTGCACTGATTTCTTAATCTCTCCTGAGAAACTTCTTGTTAAATATTTCATGCCTTCTAACTCCGTTAGGAGAATTGTACTAGCAGGGCTAGGATTGTAGGTCAATGTGAGAGTGCTTGCCTCACATGTATGAGGCCAGGCTTTGATCCCTGGCACTACAGACACACACACACACACACACACACACACACACACACACACACACACACACTGAAATCAGAATAACAAACTGGTAGCAGTAATGGCATTATTATTATGTAAATGTAGGAAATACCAGGTAAAAACACTTGGAGAATTGAAACAAGAAGGTCCAGAAACGTTTTTTTTTGTTTGTGTGTGTGTTTGTGTGTGTGTGTGTGTGTTTAGAGTATTTAGAAACAGAACTTGATTGTAGTTTGATAGCCTTGGTGTAGTTTTCAACTTGAAATATGTAATTAGGAAAAGGGAAAGGCTGTATATAATACTTGTGTGTCCTAAGAACTCAAAGAATTCATGCATTACAGTTATCTAAGAGTATTTTCTTTTTTTATTTAATTTTATTTTGTTTTTTAATGCCGAATGCCGTTTATTGAAGGAGGGAGGAGGTCTTAAATACAGGCTTACAGCACAATGGGAGAAACTGATGTTTTACAATCTTGCATCTAAGCTGTTAACACCCATTATGCAGGATACACAGACAAGGAACTTCCCTTAAGCATTCAGGAGGGTGGAACCCAGGAGGGAATTAGCATAGGGAGGATATCAAGGTCAAGGTCAGCAAGCAAGGCAACAGTTACCCAAAACAGGGGCCAGGGCCCTACAGATCCCCCTTTTACTAATAAATGAGTTTCTGACTTAGGTTGCGTGGGATGTCAGCAGGTCACCTTACCCGTCATGGAGACACCTGCCCAGGCCACACAGACGAAGAGTATTTTCTTAAAAGTTCATCCCTGAGATACACAAGTAGAGTTGTAAAATTAGAATTATCACTTATATTAGTGCATTTGTTTCCTATGAGTTATAGTTAGAAAGGATCAATGGAAAGATGAAAGGAATGAAAATTAAAACTTCAGATTCCTTTCTAAGAAGTTATAGGAGAATATTAATTAATGTAATACTGAAAGTATAACAAATGGACTGGAGAGCCAGCTCAGTGGTTAAAAGCAATTGTTGCTCTTGAGGAGGACCCAGGTTTGATTCTCAATACCCACATGATGGTTCACAACCATCTGTAACTCCAATTCCAGAGGATCCTATATACTGATACCCTCCTTCTCACCTCCAAGGGCAATAAGCATGCACATAATACACATATATACATATAGGCAAAACAAAATTTTTTTTAAAAAAATTATTTGTTATGTATACAGTATTCTTCCTGCATGTATTCCCAATGCCAGAAGAGGGCACGAGATCTCATTATAGATGGCTGTGAGCCACCATGTGATTGCTGGGACTTGAACTCAGAACCTTTGGAAGAGGAGCCAGTGCTCTTAACCTCTGAGTCATCTTTCCAGCCCCCAGAAAAACACATTTTAAAAAATCTAAAAAATATAGCTGGCCAGTGGTGGTACACACCTTTAATCCTAGCACTTAGGAGGCAGAGACAGAGGCAGGCAGATCTCTTGAGTTCGAGGTCAGCCTGGTCTACAGAGTGAGTTCCAGGACTGCCAGGGCTACACAAAGAAACAGTCCCAAAAAAACAAAACAAAACAGTCTAATAAATTGTTTAAAAATACAACAAACATAACAAAAAGGAATCTGGCTGTGGTTGGCACACACTCAAAATCCCAGAACTCAGGAAACTGGGGCAGAATTAGACCTTGTCTCAAATACAAAGGGCCAGCAAGATGGCCCAGTGGGTAAAGGCACTCGCCACTTAAGCATGACAATCTGAGTTCAATTCCTGGGATCTACCAAATAGAAGAAGAGAGCTGACCCCCTTAAGTTGGCCTCTGACCTCCACATGTGTGCCGAGGCCCTGCCTGTCCCAGTCCCTACCCCCACAAGTAATAAAATTTGAAAATGACAGAGTCACAGGGAGCTTTGTAAAGTACATATTCATTTAAGGACTGCTCATGAGAAGTCATTCTGACAGAACTAATTGGACACGGCTAACTTTAATGCTAATCCCTTCCTCTCTATACCTGTATATTGAAGACTAGAGGAGAAAATTCCAAAACCAAAGCAAACTGTCTGGACACAGAGGCTCCTGCCTGTAATTCCAGCCCTGGGAGGCAGAGGTGGAGGACAGGCTTAAGGCCAGCCTCAGCAACGTCACAAATCCCTGCCTGGAAATAAAAAAGTAGACTTGGGGATGTAGCTCAGTGATGGAGTGTGCAAGGCCCTAGGTTATTCCTTAGTATTACCCACAAAATAGACACTCCAAGTTGAAACAAAAGCTCTGATACACTTTCAGCCTGTGCTATTTGTCAGTGTTCTCAACCTTCCTAATGCTGCAACCCTTTAATACAGTTCCTCCTGTGGTGAGCCCCCCCAACCACAAATTTATTCTCGTTGCTACTTCATAACTGGAATTTTGCTACTGTTATGAATCGTAACATAAAATATCTGTTTCATGATAGTCTTAGGCGATCCTGTGAAAGGCTCATTGAACACACCTCCCTCCAAGGGATTGAGACCCACAGGTTGAGAGTCACTGCTTTAAATCATCTCTTTCCTTATTGGAAATACAAATTCTGTTCATCTCAGTATGGATCCTTGATGATCTAACAGTTTGGAATGTTGGAGTCATTTTTTTTTCATGGATAGTACTTTTACTTTTCAACATTCTGAAATTCTAAGCATATAAACTTCATGACTAGTAATTGTTAACATCAGTTGAGTGACTTATGGTGGTTATCATATGTTGTCAGGCAATGCTTATGGTAGTGGTTTGAAGGATTTTTCTCAGTGTCTCATATACTAAGACCAGCCTCCTAGGGATATGTAGGGGATGCATGTAGCAGCTTCAGGTTTCCTTGCTCAGAGTATGAATGTTTTAAGAGTACATAGAGTGTTTTTAACTCAGCAATTATCTATGTAATGCATATATTTTAAATATAGAAAGCATAAGATTCAATCTTATAGAAAAGCAACCCAAAATACATATAGGATGTTTACTTGAGAGATGTTATTTTAAGTCCCGTTCTTTCGTGAGCCCTGCACTGCCAACCGTGTGCATGTGTGTGAAAGGTTAAAAGCCCGTGTAGCTGAGTGGGGTGCCATGCTGTTAGCAGACGACGAAGGCAGTGTTACTCACCAGGTGCACGCCGTCAGCTCTGTAGAAGATTCCATCTTCATGGAGTCATCTCATGGTCAGCTTTTTCTTGATGACAGGTAACATTTCCACCACCAGTGGGTTGCCTTGTTGGAATCTTCCCAGCTAGAAAAACCTGAGATCTAAATATTCTCTTCCTAACCTTTTAGAAAATACAACATTGCCCGTTGTAAGAACTAACTTGCAGTGTAGAGTAAACCTGTGATATCACTTTGCTTTGTCAAACATAACTGAGAGGAGACTTGTGGTGGGGGTGCAGTGTGGAGCGCATGTGTTGTTTGGCTGTGGGGAGAAGCATGGGGCACTGGCTTGTGATGCAGTGGTTTCTCCATGAACGGATTGCGTTTTGTGAGAGCTAATCCAGACATTCCGTAGCTGTGACCAAGGCAAAGTCATTGTGTACAGTTTGAACTCTCGGCTCTTAACTTCTTTGCGTATGACAGCATCTTGGTCTTTTTGCTTCAAATCTGCCTAATTGTAAAGTAACCAAGACTGTCTCACTAAGCTCTTAATTCTGGAAGTTTTTACATCACCTCAATTGTGTGCACTTAACTAAGAGCCCAGCCTAATTCTCTTCATTGACACTTAATAAAATGATCCAACCGTTGTTTTAAGCTTTTTCTTCTTCATGGTAAGCTGTCATACTTGAGACACCTGACGGTGCTTAGCAGTATTATTAACTGAGCATGCTCACAAACTCAGTTTGTGGTGTTAGGCTGTCCCTGTTCTTGTTGTGTATAATACAGCTTCATTTGTGTCATTGCCTTTAATGCATCCTGTCTCATCGTGCCCTTTATTTGGCGTCATTATCACTGCCTGTTTAACTAACATCAAGGTTTGCTGGTTTTAGTTTTAGGTTTTTGTCTCTTCAATTAGCAGTAACCAAACTAATGCAAGCTGGCCAGTCTTCCCTTCCTCTTTGGGAGGAATTTTTTAGAGGGGGTGAATTTTATAAGTCTCAAGTTTTTCACCTATTAAGCACTGCTCTTGAGACAGTATTATTGTCACTTGTCAATTAACTGCTTACAAGATAGTTTTTGATTCCTGAGGGTAGAAGATTTTATCTTACTCACATTTTGTGAATAAGACTCTCAGAATTGTGAGACTCCAGCCTAATTCTCATTTTGAAGGACTGTGGTGACATTAAAATGTATTCAGCTGATTCTTCTAACTTTATTTCCCATGTGACAAAACTGATAAAATTTTAGAGGTCAGTTTCCAAGTAGTAGCTAATTGTAAAGACATTTGTCTTTACTGATGTCTGTGTTGTGTATAGCCATATTTATAAATGTTTTGGGTAAACATTACTGTATGCAATTAGCCTGACAAGTGTTCTAATACTTCCCCCAGATAGACTGTTAGATGACTGCTGTAAAATTTTCCTACTACTAATGTTTTAAATATTAATCTGTTTTCTGACTGCAGGCACGTGACACAAGCTGACCTCAAGAGCTCCACGTTCTGGCTCCGAGCGAGTTTTGGTGCTACTGTTTTTGCAGTTTTGGGCTTTGCTATGTACAAAGCATTATTGAAACAGCGATGATTAAAAATAATAATGATAATAACCGGCCTACCAAAAGCAAATGCTTTTATGTACATTCTGAATGCTTTAAATTCTGCTAGAAATATTGAGATATTTATACATGCAGAGTTACTTTATTAATATTTGTAATTCATGCATAAGAGTATTTTACTGATAGTAATGACTGCAGTATTAGCTGGCATGTGGAAAGAAAACACCTTAGTAGCCAAACTTAAGTGGCTAAATTTCAGAGGCCAAAAGGGAATATTTTGTAAATAATGTATATATTCAAGCAAGATATGGTCTCCCAAACTGAGTTCTAGAAATGATGTTTGCAGACATTTACATTAGTGTCATAGTGTTCACTTGGCTCACTCTGCTAGGTGTCAGTCACCAGAGATTGTGTTACTCATGGATCACATATTTATTTCACGTTGACTCAGAATGACCCTTTGGCTTCTACAGCCATTTCTCTCTATTTTTAAGATCACACAGGAGTCAAGGTCAGCTTTCCAAAACCGCTTTGTTTCTGCCACTTACGGTAGGCCAGCATCAAAGCCATTGTGAAATCTAGAAAATTGTGTATCTGGGTGTGTGGCTGAGGAACTGAGGCAGAAGCAGTTAGCAGAGGTGTTACCTGTGTGACTACATTGCTTCTTTGTCAGTGTGTGGGATTTTATAGCCCTTTCAATCAAACGAGAAAACAATTTGTATATTACCAGTGTTTTCAGTTTAACTCAACAAGCCACCCTGACCACTGCTGAGTTTCACCTGAAGTGGAGACCGTTCTAGAATGGCCGTGTCTGTTGTAGTGTTGCCGTGGCTGCATGTGTTGTGAAGTCGTCTACATCTGGCCAGGATAATCTAGAGGCAGCACTTTTTTAATGGTAAAATAAATCTAATGACTATAAACTCTCACAAGAAACCTATTTTTTCCATCATTGACCTTTTCAGGTATTTAAATAAATAACTGCTGTGTAATGTGATCTTGGGTTTTTGTGTCTTATAAAGTAAGTGTCTCTGTCCACATGTATGGCAGCTCCTCTGGTTTCTACCTTTCTTAGGTTAGAGATTATTTTTTATACAAAAACATGATACTCAGTAGGAAGGAAGCTGAATAGGATTCGTGTGTCTAGAGGTGTGTCCTCCGAGGCCAGTGTACCTCTGCCTGCGCTGACTACTGTGGCCTCTGCTGGCTCATGTTAGTCTTCACCTCTAAGATGATGCTTCTTCCCTCCACTGTTCTGAGGATAGTTTCTCACATGATCACACTTCATGAGCAACTAATAACAACTTCGCACATTATAAACTTGTTCTCTTGCTTATTCCCTGTCTTTCCTTCCTCTTCCCATTTTCTTTCTGAGTTTGAAGAAAAAAAATTAAACGTGGCAACACCTCATTTTTATTATTTTCTTTAAATTTTTTATTACACTGTATTTATTTTATGTGTCTGTGTGTATATGGGCCCGTGTGTGTCGTGGCATGTGTGTGGTCAGAAGACACACAGTCCTCTGGTACAGCGTGGGTCTTGGCAGTGGAACTCAAGCTGTCAGGCTTGGTACGCTGGTGCCTTTGCCCGCTGAGCTATCTCACAGGCCCTTAATTTTCCTTGTTTTCTGACAATTTCCCATGTACCAAATAAATTGATCTCAGTTGCACACTCTTCAAAGACAGCTATTTCTTTTCTTCTACATTTCTTTTTATTTTGGCTAAAATAATAAGCCTTATAGACTGCTGTGTTTGTGAGAAACAGGAAAGAAAGCAAGTTATCAAGAGATGGATAGTGGCCAGGCATGGTGGTGCACACCTTTAAACCCAGCGTTCAGGAGCAGGTGTATTTCTGAATTCGAGGCCAGCCTGGTCTATAGAGTGAGTTCCAGGTCAGTTCCAGGGCTACACAGAGAGACCCTGTCTCCAGGTGAGTTGGAGTACATGTGTGGAAAGTGCTGGGTTTATACATTTAAACTTTTTTCTCAACCTTATTATTTTATTTATTTATTCTGAGGGCTCCAGGTGGGTTTGGGTGTACGTGTGGAAAGTGCTGGGTTTATGTATTTATTTATTTAGAGGTTTTTGAGACAAGGTCTCACCTAAGTACTTTGGCTGACCTGGAACTCCTTTTGTTGACCGGGGTTCCTTTGAACTTACAGACCCACCTCTCATGTGCCAGGATTAAAAGCTAACAGAATATGCCACTATGCATGGCTGATCTTGTCATTTTAAGATAAGTGTCTTTGATTCACCAAACGTCAGGAGAGGAGAGCTGCCCCATTTGTCTTTGTTTGGTGGATGACCCACATTGTAGAGCCTGGCTGTCCTCATCTGTGTGTCAGCTGAGGCAGTGTGGTGAGCAGAGGTTAGGTCACCGCTTCCCTCTTCGTCCTGCAAGCATGTAGGTGTGCTCCTTTGTTTTACATAGGCTTCAGGAACTAGTTAATACAGGAACAAACAGTAAGAGGCTTCTGCTGGCTTTGACAGTTTGCTCCAAAAATGCCAGCTGTAAAAATACTAAAAAATGAGGGAATTGGGACACAAGGAGTAAAAGAAAACCTGTTCACTGAGTTCTGTTGCATCATCTTGTAAATGGACAATTTTAAGACCACTTGTTAGGGTGTTTTAATGAGTAATAAGGCATTTTAAAAAGAGCTGTCACTTTGAGTTTTGTTGTCCTGTGGATTAATCACTCTCCCTTTGTGTCTCAGGGGTCTCTGCTTTGTGCTCTTGTGCACATTTGGACAGAAATGTTTCCCATGTTGTAGGTAGTAATAAATACCAGAATAAGAGTGGGCTATGATGATAGACATTTGGGGAGCACATAACCATTCTAATGTGACCTACAAAATGAAAGTAAAGGACTCTGGACATCCTTTTTGTGCATGTTTGCACATCATCCGACTGGAAGACACCAAAGGAAAGTAGGCTGCTGAGCTAATCCTGAAAGGAATGGTAACCACCCTGACCTGCAGGATGATGGTGAAATAATGAGCAGCAGTGGAGAAACAGAGGTAAGTGCCTAATCTCTATGGCAGAGCATGAAATTTTCCTGAACAGGTCCTTAGAGCGCAAGTAAGGTTAGCTTTGGTGCTCCCTTTTGTCTGAATTGTATTAGTGTAAGTCCGTATAAAACTCTCTTTAAAATGGACAGTTGTTTATCTGTATCTTTTTTGTTTTGCCTTTTTTCAAGTCAGGGTCTAACCCTAACCCTAACAGGTTTCTCTGTGTAACCCCAGCTGTCCTGGAACTCACTCTGTAGACCAGGCTGGCCTCGAACTCACAGAGATCTGCCTGGCTCTGCCTCCTGAGTACTGGGATTAAAGGCATGCACCTCCGCCGCCGCTGCCGCCGCCACCCCCCAGCTATTTGTCTGTATCTTTGGAGGGTTGCTTCCAAGACCTTGCATGAATACTCCTCTTCAGATGCTCGAGTGTGTGTAGATAATATATTTAAATAGTATATACAACGTTTGTATATAACCCATGCACATCCTCCTATATACTTTAATTCATCTCTAGATTACTTATAATATGTAACTAGTGTTTACAATATATTTTACAGTATAAAGGCCATGTAAATAGTTATTATATTGCTTAGGGAGTTATGACAAGGAAAAACATCTGTATGTATTTGGAACAAATGCAGCCATACTAAACAAACTAGATAGCAAATGAATGAGATGTAAGTAAGCTGCTGAAGTGAATGTTCAACAGTACAGGTCTGTGAAGGGTTGGAGGTACATCAGGATATGCCTACACATTATCCTCGTGAATTCACTGGAATACTTGGCAGGTCACAAATTCAAGTTATACTTTTTTTTTCAACTTTCTGAAAAAACAGTTTTAATACAGGCTTGGTCAAATCTGCAAAGAGAGAACTCGCAGAGGTGATTATGCAATCCTTAAAAACATATATGTCAGTGGTAGAGATTGTGCTCAGCATCTGTAGTCCCTGAGCTCAGTCTCCAGTACAGACAGACCAATGGATAGCCTAGTCTTATTATTATGCTTATTTATAACATTTTAATTTGAGGTGTGCAGTTTGAGACACGTTTCTCTGTGTAGCTTGCCTGTCCTGGAACTCAACATTTGTAGACCAGGCTAGCCTTGAACTCACAGAAATTCACCTGCCTCTACCTCCCAAGTGCTGGGATTAAAGGCATATGCCACCACTGCCTGGCTTCTTTTTTGTGTTTTGTTTTTTGTTGTGTTTGTTTGTTTGTTTGAGACAGAGTTTCTCTGTGTAGCTTTTGAGCCTGTCCTGGAACTCAACTTTTGTAGACCAGGCTGGCCTTGAACTCAGAGAGATTCACCTGCCTCTACCTCCCGAGTGCTGGGATTAAAGGAGTGTGCCACCCACCCCCCGCCCATCCCCGGCCCTTTCTTGTGTTTTTAAATCTGTTAAAATACCCTTTCAGAAAGAATAAATGTCTCTTAACCTGTTTGGCCCTCAGATATGAAGTCTCCATCTGATTTGTGGATGTCACAGTGGTGTGTCTGAGATTGCCTCAGATATGAAGTCTCCATCTGATTTGTGGATGTCACAGTGGTGTGTCTGAGATTGTTCTAGGGTATTCAGATTTCAGAAACCAGTCTCCTGCCCCGTGACACACTCAGACTCCTCAGTCTCTTATCCTCCCAGGGCTTATAAACTTTAGCCAGTGCGCTGGATGCAGAGAGTGGGCCGCCGTCAGGACTACTATCTGACTTCACAGAGCCACTCTGGGATGGCCATGCTTTCTAGGGGAGTGTGTGCACTGTAGTGTTTTCTCCCTTTCCTTTAGCATACAGTTGTAGTGGTCCAGCCCTGAGGTGCTTCCCCCTGGGTTTGAAAGGTGAATGTCAGCTGTATATAAACAAAGCAGCATTGTACAAATTATACATTGAAAAATCCAAATTCTGCA